AGCCCCATGTGATGTCGGTCCCTCAGTACCCCCTCGCATATTGCCCACGTGGCTCAGCGACTATCCTCAACTTCAGTGTATCAATTGCAGCCCCAAGCATTGCAAATCTCAACCATCCATCTCGGACCCCAAACAATAGTCCTCCACTCAAGTATATCGACCACGGCTCTTTTGCCTTATGATCTCAACTCTCATCTCAGACATTTCACAACACATAGTCTCAATTATGATTTCACGTAATACCATATTAAGTTTCTATCCTCTTTACAAGTTCTAGGCGATCACACAATCACAAAAGAGATCTAAACAGCAATCAAACAAGCACAGTGTTTCAAGCACAAGTAAATGTTTCTTTTAAGTCTCCTGCAACTTCAGTTTCAATACCCTAAACACATCTAGGTTATTCACAGAGCAATCAACAACCTAATATGACCTAGCTGGGGCTCAGTTCTAAAGCAGAAAGTAGGTTATGCTTGGTTTAACCCCAAACTATGCATTCAGGAAAGCAGAGTTCACGATATTCAAGAACAGATTCATCCTCACCTTGGCCTAGGTGGCGAAGGAGGTGGCAAGGGGAGGTAAGGAGAAGAGAAGGAGGCGAGATGCTCCACGGCGGCTAACCACGCAGGGTTGATCGATCTCCGGGGGTGATGCTGCGGTGGCGTACGGCTCCGGGAGGACTCCAGCTCCTCATCAACGTGAAACACCGGGGCAGGGCGGCTGGAAGGGGCGGCTACGGGTCCATCCCGAAGGTAGTGGACTCGCGGCTGCTCCACCGCACCAGCGGACGATGATGGCTGCTCCGGGGAGCGGCTAGGGCGGTCACCAGAAGGCGGGGAAGATGAACGGCGGGACATGGTGAAGAGAGAGAGGATGCGGCGATGAGAGATAAAGAAAGAGGAGAGAGAGACGGCGGAGAGAGAGTACTATGGCGCCGGAAAAGAGAGAGAAGAGAGTTCTAGGGTTTCTCAGTTCTCTGGAAAGTTTAGAATGAAGAAAAAGAATGAGAAGGGCTCTCTATTTATACCCAATGGGAGACTTGGGTAAAAAGTAAAGATAACCACAAAAAAGGAAAAGATAATTATGAATAAGAATATTCACAATTTATTTAGGAAAAGGTTCATTAATATCACATTAAAAATGTAATATTTATCTAAACCAGGAATTAATTATCTCTCGAAGGAAAAAGGAAATATCGAGAAATAGGAAATGAGCTTAAACCGTCTTAGTCGGGATTGAATTTTCCAAACGGGCCTGGTTTGTAAAATTGGGTCGTTACAATTCTCCCTCCCTTAACGAGAATTCGTCCTGAATTCTAAGGCATGAACCTCCACGGCCGGCTTAAGGCGATGAGGAAGACTTGGAAGTCATACCAAAGAAGGCTAAATCGAAATGTTCATAGAACAGAAGACTCGGAAGGCAATCATTTCTAAGCAAGCAAAACTTTTTATTAAATTAAATCAAGCAATCAATCAACATAGAATAGGGCTCTTAAATCTAATGCATAAATTAAAAACTAAGTTAATTTCTAAAATGTAAAAATGAATTCCCCCTCCAATATCCCAAAAGCGCAACCCTAATCTAGATAGTCTTCAAGCAGCTTCTCCAAGCCACGTCTCGGGTCGAAGTCGTCGTCACCGGGGACCTCGCATTCGGACGGGTCTGACTCATAGTCACCCTCTTCCTGCTGCCTCTGTTCTTCCTCGATATCCTGCTCTACCAACCGAGCCAGGTTAGTGACTTGGCTGATGCCCCGAACGAATCCGTCTTCCTCGGGATAAGGTACACTCCCGCGGATTTCCGGTCTCAGTCCTTCTCGGAATGCAATTGCAGCATGAAGAGTACAACAGATTTCTCTGCCACTCTCATTCAGGTCCCTAAAGAAGGCCCTTTTGTACTGCTCCACATAACGTCCACCCTGGGTTGTCCGGGGGTAAGACGGCTGAACACCCGGCCTAACATATGGCGCGGGGTTCTTGCGGGGGCGTCCGCGCTTACGTGTTGGCTGGGCCTGTTGGGCCATCACTCTACCAGAAGAGGATCGACATGTGCCCCGAGCTTGTACAGCTTCGAGCACATCAGTCGCTAGCGCAGCATAGGCGTTCACCTCCTCCAGAGTGGGCATCCGAGCGGGTCGGGCGAGTCTAGCAGGAACCATGTAGATCGGAGTGGTCCATTTCCGAGCTGTCTCGCGGGTATGAGTCCTGTTTGGCACGGGAAAGAAAAAGCTAAGAGTCAGATGTCAAGTATGCATAGGTGTGAGTCATAACAGTTGTAAAGCAAGCCAAGTGTGCACAAAAGGTTTCGCAAACACTAAAACTTTTTAGGACTGACCCTTCAGAACAAAGCTGAAGAGTCTTAACCTGGCTCTGATACCAAACTTGTGACACCCGATCCCGGTCAATAAAACCGAACCGGCATTGTCAAAATAACCGTCTGCACCATAAGCCAAACGCATTATCCACTTTACAAGTCCTAGAAACTGAAGGCGCCTTGCTTAACAAACAACTCCACATCCATATGCAATACTGAGCATCCTGACTCACCTAACCTGCTAGAGGGGATCGAGAGAGAGAAGATAGGGGACTGGAGGGGTGAGTAATTTAGATTACCCAGGAGAATGAACCTACACTATCCTATCAATGCACCACAACTTAACAACGCTAAGTTCAAGCCTAAAACAGCACCATAGAAAGTCCTAAAGACTTCACACAATATCCTAGCATCACAGGTAACGCCACTGCGAATACCCGGACCACACAATGATGACTTACACCGTGGCACTTGTGTTGCATCCTTCGTAAATTTATAGTCGCTACACGACTAGCCCGTCGGCCATGCCTTGAGAGCGCTACTTATAGCCATTACTCCCATACCACATGAGTATACACTGAACCCTTTTGAACAGCCCCATGTGATGTCAGGTTCCTCAGTACCCCCTTCGCATATTGCCCACGTGGCTCAGCGACTATCCTCAACTTCAGTGTATCGATTGCAGCCCAATGCATTGCAAATCTCAACCATCCATCTCGGACCCCAAACAATAGTCCTCCACTCAAGTATATCGACCACGGCTCATTTGCCTTATGATCTCAACTCTCATCTCAGACATTTCACAACACATAGTCTCAATTATGATTTCACGCAATACCGTATTAAGTTCCTATCCTCTTTACAAGTTCTAGGCGATCACACAATCACAGAAGAGATCCAAACAGCAATCAAACAAGCATAGTGTTTCAAGCACAAGTAAATGTTTCTTTTAAGTCTCCTGCAACTTCAGTTTCAATACCCTAAACACATATAGGTGATTCACAGAGCAATCAACAACCTAATATGACCTAGCTGGGGCTCAGTTCTAAAGCAGAAAGTAGGTTATGCTTGGTTTAACCCCAAACTATGCATTCAGGAAAGCAGATTTCACGATATTCAAGCACAGATTCATCCTCACCTTGGCCTAGGTGGCGAAGGAGGTGGCAAGGGGAGGTAAGGAGAAGAGAAGGAGGCGAGATGCTCCACGGCGGCTAACCACGCAGGGTTGATCGATCTCCGGGGGTGATGCTGCAGCGCCGTACGGCTCCGGGAGGACTCCAGCTCCTTATCAACGTGAAACACCAGGGCAGGGCGGCTGGAAGGGGCGGCTACGGGTCCATCCCGAAGGTAGTGGACTCGCGGCTGCTCCACCGCACCGGCGGACGATGATGGCTGCTCCGGGGAGCGGCTAGGGCGGTCACCAGAAGGCGGGGAAGATGAACGGCGGGACATGGTGAAGAGAGAGAGGATGCGGCGATGAGAGAGAAAGAAAGAGGAGAGAGAGACGGCGGAGAGAGAGTACTACGACGCCGGAAAAGAGAAAGAAGAGAGTTCTAGGGTTTCTCAGTTTTCTGGAAAATTTAGAATGAAGAAAAAGAATAAGAAGGGTTCTCTATTTATATCCAATGAGAGGCTTGGATAAAAAGTAAAGATAACCACAAAAAAGAAAAAGATAATTATGAATAACAATATTCACAATTTATTTAGGAAAATGTTTATTAATATCACATTAAAAATGTAATATTTATCTATACCAGGAATTAATTATCTCTCAAAGGAAAAATAAAATATCATAAAATAGGAAATAAGCTTAAACTGTCTTAGTTGGGATTGAATTTTCCAAACGGACCTGGTTTGTAAAACCGAATGGTTATAAATATTCTTTTTTTATGGTGAATATTTTTAAATGTTCAGCGGTCTGAGCTATATTTTTTGTTCGTTTGTCTTTATAGTTACAAAAGAACTAGTCATTTCAAAAACATTATCATCTATGATTGCAATTTTTTTTTCTTATGTTTATCATGTTTTGTATTTTAATTATGTTTCAAGTTCGACCAGTTAAGAGTCCAAGTCTTTTTCAAAGAATTTCATTCTTCAAGTTGTATAAGCACGGTTTAAAATTAATATAAATATGTTTTGTATAAAAAAAGATTTCACATAGGTTTTTTAGAGCAAATATAATATTATTATTTTCGATTATATGTTAATTTGCATGATATTATAGTATTTAATTAATCATATGCAAAAACATATTTATATTAATTTTAGCTAAAAGTAAAAAACATACTCTTATTTACAGTTTTGCCTATTTTAGTTAATGTTTTTGGCTATCTGGCAAATAAGCCCTGAAGATTAAAGTCCCAACTGTTTTTACAGTACTGTAGTGAAAAATTGATAGTTGTGACTTGTGAGTATGTTTAACATTGTAATATGATTTAGTAAAACAATTTTTTTGTTACAACTTAAAAAAACCTAAAACTAATAAATAAAAGCTTCCTACTTAATTAAAAATTATATTTTTTGTTTATCTAAACATTTTCTTTTTATATTTTACTGAATAATATCAAATTGAATAATTTTTTTTGTTAATGTCACATTTACTAGTATGAAATTATGCAAATAAGATTTCACATCTAGTGTTGTAAGAAAAAAGATTTCACATTTGTTTAGGTTTTACTACACACAATATGAGGTCTCTTGAAGAGCCATGAGATAAAAAAAAATGAAACCCACGTTTAAGTTAGTTACAACGGTTTTGTTTTAAAAACGTTTCTATTGCCACTTGATGCTTCTTCAAGCTTAACGATTGTATCTTTCGCTCTTGTAATGGAAATCTCAGCCATGAGAATGAGTTTTCTTGCTCTGGGTTTGTCTCTGTGTCTTCTTCTCTCAAGCTTCCATGTGGTTTCTTCTCAGGTAAACACAAAAAGATCGTCTATATTCATTTTTTTCTGTGTCAACCTTTAAGAAATTAGACAGAATCAACTGATGCATATTCGGTATATTTATAGGATGATGGTGCTAGTAGGGTGAGTCATTTGGATCTAATCGAGCGTGAATACCAAGGTAAGTAGATAACCAGAATCATCCAAATCTTTCCTCCTTTTTCTTTTTGTTTTCTTGAATTGAGTTTGGTTTTTCTTTTTTCATTGCAGATAGTGTCAATGCTCTTCAAGGCAAGGAAGGTGAAGATCAGTGTAAGATATCTCTCTCTCTGTTTCTGTTTCTTGTTTCTTCGTTCTGTTTTCTTCTTTGTGACAGTGTTTATGTCTGTGTGTCTTCAGCTGCAAAGATACAGAGTGAAAACCAGAAGAACACTACAGTGACTGATAAGAACACTATTTCTCTTTCTCTATCAGACGAATCTGAGGGTACATTCAGTGATTCTGTTGATAACTCAACCCAGGTTAGGATTCAGATGTAGAATTTGATTATGATGAATCTGCCTCAGAGATTTCTGCAAAGTTTAAGTTCATTGTAGAATTAAGGTGCTTTTGTCTTCTTTTGTGTGTTAGGTTGGAGCTGTTAGTGATGAAAGTGTTAAACGTTCGAATCTGTTGGATCAACTCGAACTTGAATTTGAAGGTATCTTAGTCTCTCTTTCTCCTAGTGATTGTGTTTATGAGTTAAAGGTTGAATCAAGAAAGCCCTTAAAAGATAAAAAGCCAAATCTTTTATTAATCCAGGATTAATCAGTTCTTATCCTCTATATCTTGATCAATTACAGCTCATCTCAATGGTCTAAACGAAGCTGGATCTGATGGTGTCAAAGCTGAATCCAAGGATGATGAAGAATTATGTAAGAAAAGCTCTCTCTTTTGCACATTTTTGTATAAACCTTTATTGTCTCTTCAAGAGTTGTTTATGTGTCTTATTTCAGCTGCTTATAGACAGAAGATGTTGGAAGACATCGAACGTGATTTTGAAGGTATCTTTATAGATTTTCTATCAATAGCTTATGGTTTTAGTTTCTGTAAATCTCACTTACAAAAAAAAAAAGTTTGTTACTTTGTCTTCTTTTACTTGCAGCTGCTTCAACTAGTTTGAAACAACTAAAGACTGATGAATTAAGCGAAGGAAATGATGAAGAACAATGTAAAGAAACTTATTCATCTCTTGATTCCAATGTTTCCTTCGCTTACTGAAACATGTCTTGTGTCTTTGTTACAGCTGCGAAGAGACATAGTTTGTTGGAAGAGATCGAGCGCGAGTTTGAAGGTATTCCCAACGTGCCTGTCTTCAAGAATTCCTCTGTTTTGGGATAAAATCTTGAATCTAAGAGTCTGCTTTTGTCCTTACTTGTAGCCGCTACAAAAGATCTTGAACAACTTAAGGTTAATGACTTCACCGGAGACAAAGATGACGAAGAACAATGTGATAAACCTGTTCCCTTCTCGGACTTCTCCAATCATTTGTCTCTGCTTTAGCATTTTGTAAATGACCTTTTGTGTCTTTGTTACAGCTGCAAAGAGAAAAAGTATGCTAGAAGCTATCGAACGCGAGTTTGAAGGTTTCTTGAGACATCATTACCTTTTGTTCCTAAGTTTCACTAATCTATGAACAATTTTGAATATGATCTAAGAGTTTGTTTGTGTGTTTGTCTGTTACTTGAAGCTGCTATTGAAGGACTTGAAGAACTAAAGGTTTCTGATTCAACCGGAAGCAAGGATGATGAAGAACAATGTAAAGTCTCATGATCTCTTTTAGTTGTTCTCTGATCCATTGCCTCTGAAGCTGCTTCTATGTCTTGTTACAGCTGCAAAGAGACTAAGTATGCTTGAAGAGATCGAACGTGAATTTGAAGGTACTTTACAATGGTCTGTCTTAAAACAGGGTTTTATGTTTCATCAAGAAGTTTAAGAATGTGTGTTTCTGTGTTCGGTTCTTTTTCATTTCTTATTCATAGCTGCTACAAAAAGTCTTGAACAACTCAAGGTCAATGATTCAATCGAGGACAAAGTTGAAGAGGGACAAGGTATGATGATTTTTTGTCTTCTCTTATTTAACTGTTGCGTGTTCCTGCAAATGGTTTTTCTGATTCAGTTTGATCTTTGCTGTAAAACAGATGCAAAGAGGCAAAGTATGTTAGAAGAGATCGAGCGTGAGTTCGAAGGTATCTTCCACAAAACCATTTACTGGGCCTAATTAGTTAGCTCTGAGTATTATCTGAGAGTCTTGTCTCTTCATTTATCACTTTCAGCAGCTACAGATAGCCTTAAGCGACTTCAAGTTGATGATTCCACTGAAGAAGACACAGAACAAAGTAAATAAAATAATCTCTTCTCTTCTGATCTGCTTTTCTTTCCCTACACGGTAAAGCCTGAGACAAGATTTGATGTATTTGTGTTACAGCTGCAAAGAGGCAAAGCATGTTGGAAGAGATCGAACGTGAGTTTGAAGGTACCTTCACATATGCATACCTCTCTCTATGTAAGTTCCTATGTTTCATACTAAGATTCAATTTTCTCTTATACTTGTAGCTGCTACAAAAGGTCTTGAACAACTTAAGGTCAATGATTACACAGAAGGCAGTGATAATGAAGAACAATGTAAGGGAACAAAAAAAAACTTCTTTCCTTTTCTTTACTACAGTATTGAGACAAGAGTTACTTATATCTTGTTACAGCTGCAAAGAGAAAGAGTATGCTTCAAGAGATCGAACGTGAATTTGAAGGTGATATCTCAACCTTTTCATCTATCTAATTAGCTCAGATCCATTCAAGGGGAAATATTGAACCTGTTCAATGTTTTTACTTGCAGCTGCTATTGGAGGTCTTAAGCAGATCAAAGATGATGATTCTAGAAACATTGAAGAACAATGTAAACTCTCTAATCCCATTTCTTGTCTTTACAGCCTTTTCATGAAAATTCTGTAGTCTTTTTCTTTATTAATTCTTCTTTCAGCTGCAAAGAGAAAGATAATGTTGGAAGATATCGAACGTGAATTCGAAGGTACTTCAAGATTCATTTTAATAATCTTTCCTAAGCAAAGGAAGTATAATTTGAAAGTGTCTCTGATTCCACCTTCCTGTTCTGCAGAAGCGCAAAGTGGATTTAGCGCAAATGCCAATAAAGAAGAATGTAAGACAAAACCAAAACTCTTTTAACTCTTGTGTTTCACTCACTATCTGAAACAGTTCTTGTTTTTTACAGCTGCAAAGAAACAGAGCGGCTCGATTACACCAGGGTTTCTTGGACTAGGACAGTCAGGTGTTTGTGGCTGTTTTAACCAAGACAATGATGGTTTAAAGCAAGACGAAGATGTTTCAATCGCAATATCAACCAAATATAGCATAGAGGAGATCCTCTCTGAAGAATCTGAAACCCAGGTTTTGTTTCTTGAACAACAAGTAAAGGATCTCACAATCACAGTCTCAAAAGTATAATTCCTATATTTCATTGTTTTCTTATTTTGCAGGGAACAGAGACTTCTTCTAGTCTCACTAAGTCTCTGACTCAACTCGTTGAGAATCACAGGAAAGACAAGGAGTCTCACAGTGCACACAGAGATCTCGATTCAGCATCCACAAGCGAATCATCAGCTACATCGGAGACTGTAGAGAGCCTTAGAGCTAAACTGAAAGAGCTTCGTGGCTTAACCGCTCGTCAGCTCGTGACACGTCACGATTTTGAGAAGATTCTCGTCATGGCTGCAAGTTTCGAGGAGCTAAGCTCAGCTCCAATCAGTTACATCTCTAGGTTAGCTAAATACAGAAACGTCATTAAAGATGGACTCGAAGCTTCTGAGCGAGTCCACATCGCAAAGGCACGAGCCAAAATGCACAAAGAAACTGCCAAGGAGAAGCAAGCCTTCGTGGACGCTAATTTCGCAGAGGCTAAAAAGCTTGCTGAGAGAGGAGACGCGTTGTACGTTAGAATCTTTGCGATCAAGAAACTGTTGAGGAAGCTTGAAGCAGAGAGAGAGACTGTTGATGTAAAGTTTAAGGAGGTCGCGAAGGGTCTTTCTCATCTTCTTGCTGATGCTTCCGAGGCTTACGAGGAGTATCATGGAGCGGTAAGGACGGCGAAAGACGAGGAAGCGGCTGAGGAATTTGCGAGAGAGGCGACGGAGAGTGCAGAGATCATTTGGGTTAAGTTTCTTAGTTCTCTTTAGAGAACAATTGAGACTCTTGCTTGTGTTTAGAGCTAATCTAGGGCTCTTGTTGCTTCTCGTTTTGTATTTTGTGTTGATGTTCTGTTTCAGAGTTTGTGTGTTGGTTATATCAGGAGAGAGATCTTGGGAGATAGAGAGGAAAACACATAATGTATTTTTTTCAAGATTTCTAATAAAATAAGCTTTCAATAATTCATAAGAAAACCTTTTGTATACCTTGTAACGTGTAACAGGTTCCTTTTTTTTGTTTTTTTTTTTGAATATTCATACTAAAGTGTAAAGACTATGATGTAACATTAAACAAGCTTTCAGTAATTCATAGATTGATCCAAAACCAGTGTTTTTTTTGTGTGTGACCAATTTATAAAAAGCATAATCAGTGTTCTTGATACCATAATAAATCAAGAGTCGATAAATGGAATAATTTTTTGTTGTTATTACTCCTTGACTTGAACGTCAAAAAAATAATATACGTACATATATGCTTAAGCTATATACTATATAGTATATTGAGATCTTTTGGTCAATAATATAAAATAGTATGTACTTATTTTAATAGTTTTTTTTTAACATAAAATTGCTTTACTATACAAAATAAAATCGTTAAACCAAGTGATGGATCAATTGTTTTTTTTGTTCCTTGCGATTTATTAACGCCATTTCAAAGTAATTTTTGGAGAGCAAAGGAGAATAATGAAGAAGGAAACAACAAGTGGATGATTAAAAAAGGAAACAAAATTAGAAGAAGCAGACACTCCTCCGCTCTCTCTGCTTCCGCTTCTGTTCAACCTCTGAATCTGATCTCCGAAGAAGAACACTGAATAGTACTAAGTATGCTTCTCTCTCTACTTCGTCTTCATTACTTCTAGTTTCCGGTGAAGATCATTGACTTCAGATTTTCGCTTTATAATCATAGATTGCTCCAAATTCGCGTTAATTAGCTGCATTTTTTTTTTTTGCTTAGAGCATCGGCGAATCCATACTTAGATTCTGGTAAGTTTAACTGACAGATCGTAAAGAGACGATGCGATTTTGAATTTTTGTTGACCGGAAGATATATATTTCTGGATTTTTCTCTTCTTCTTTTTTTTGTTTCCAGTCTCTGAATTCCCCAACGCGAATTTCTAATTCTATTGCTAGAGTCTAAGGAGGAAGTAGATTCATTGATTCTTATGCCTTTGAACTCGTAATCTGAGAATTTGTGGAGCTTTTTTTTCACCAGATTTGGTTTGGAATACTGAATTTCAAAAACCTAAATGCAGGTCACTGGAGGAGTTTAGATCCGAACTGCAACCAGATATTACTCATTTAAATGTTTCTATAGTTCTTCCAGTATCAGATTTTTGGTAATTAGAGTTTGATGATTTGATATGTATATTGTAGACTGATTTGGGAGATGCAGTAGTTTTTTTTGTGGCTGATGATGAGATCATAAAGCTTGAAATCATGGAGGAGGTTCGGTTATCGCCGCTGAGACAAACAAGCTATAAGTCTTCACTCTCAGGGAGGTCTACTCCAAGGGGTTCACCTAGAGTGCATTCTGGTAGGACTCCGCGGAGAGGTAGCGGCGGCGGAGGAGGAGGAGGAGCGGTTCAGTGGTTTCGCAGTAGCCGTCTGGTTTATTGGCTGCTTTTGATTACTCTTTGGACGTATCTTGGGTTCTATGTTCAGTCCAGGTGGGCTCATGATAATGAGAACAAAGTTGAGTTTTTGCGGTTTGGTGGCAAACTGAGAAAGGATGTGTTACATGTGGAGAATAACAACAATAGATTTGGTTCTGTTGTTAATGAGACTTCTTCTGATGCTTTGCTGAGTTTTACCGGTAAAGAAGATGATGCTGGTGGTGGGAATAAGAGGACGGATGTTAGTCTGAGCAAGAAAGACGATGGGGCTTCACGACGGAGCTTGAGTTCAAGACAGAAGACGAAGAAAGCTGGCCGGGCTTCATCACGTAGTAAGATCCGTGGTAAGCAGAAAGTGAGTAAAGAGGTTAAGGCTGAGGCTAAGGTTTTGGATGATGAGCAAGATCCACAGCTTCCGATGACAAATGCTACTTATGGTAAGCTTCTTGGTCCTTTCGGGTCACTAGAGGATAGAGTTCTTGAGTGGAGCCCGCATAGACGGTCTGGGACCTGTGACAGGAAATCGGATTTTAAGCGGCTTGTTTGGTCAAGGAGATTCGTGTTGCTTTTCCACGAACTCTCGATGACTGGCGCTCCGATTTCGATGATGGAGCTGGCTTCAGAGCTTTTGAGCTGCGGCGCAACAGTCTCTGCAGTAGTACTCAGCAGGAGAGGTGGACTGATGCAGGAGCTCGCTAGGAGAAAGATCAAAGTGGTTGAAGACAAAGGAGAACTCAGCTTCAAGACTGCCATGAAAGCTGATTTGGTCATCGCAGGATCAGCAGTGTGTACCTCATGGATAGGTAACAAGACTTCATTATGCGATATTGGGACTAGTAATATACAAATCAAAGGGAAGCAGATCTTTAATTGCTGTTCTTCATTTTCTTGCAGATCAATACATGAATCATCATCCAGCTGGTGGAAGTCAAATAGCTTGGTGGATAATGGAGAACCGAAGAGAGTACTTTGACCGAGCGAAACCGGTGCTTGACCGAGTGAAAATGCTGGTTTTTCTATCTGAATCACAGAGCAAACAATGGTTAACGTGGTGCGAAGAGGAGCACATCAAGCTCAGATCACAACCAGTGACTGTTCCACTCTCTGTTAATGACGAGCTGGCTTTTGTAGCTGGGATTCCTTCTTCACTCAACACGCCAACACTTTCTCCGGAGAAAATGAGGGAGAAGAGACAGATACTACGCGAATCAGTCAGAAAGGAGTTAGGCTTAACAGATGAAGATATGCTTGTGATGTCTCTCAGCAGCATAAACCCAGGAAAGGGACAACTTCTTCTCCTTGAATCTGTCGCCTTAGCACTTGCTGCGAGAGAAGCAGAAGCTCAAAGGAATCTCAAGGGCATCATCATCAAGAAAGAAAAAGTCAGCCTCTCAAGGAAACATCGTCTAAGAGGCTCATCTCGAGAGATGAAGAGTGTTTCTCTCCCACTTGACAATGCCGTAACAAGACAGAGACAAGAGCTTAAAGTTCTTCTAGGATCAGTGGGTTCAAAGAGCAACAAAGTTGGATACGTTCAAGAGATGTTAAGCTTCTTATCAAACAACGGAAACTTATCCAAGTCAGTCATTTGGACTCCAGCAACGACTCGTGTTGCTTCATTATACTCTGCAGCAGATGTCTACGTTACAAACTCCCAGGTAATATACAAAGTTTCATAGCAGAGATTCAGCAAAATTACAAAGCTAATTGAACACTTTCTTTCACAAACAGGGAGTTGGTGAAACATTTGGGAGAGTGACGATAGAAGCAATGGCGTATGGACTTGCAGTGGTGGGGACAGACGCAGGAGGAACAAAAGAGATGGTCGAACATAACGTGACCGGTCTACTTCACTCGATGGGAAGGTCAGGTAACAAAGAATTGGCTCAAAATCTCTTGTTTCTACTTAGAAATCCAGAGACAAGGCTACAATTCGGGATCCAAGGACGCAAAAAGGTTGAGAAAATGTACATGAAGCAACACATGTACAAGCGATTCGTTGACGTTCTAGTCAAATGCATGAGACCATAAAAACACTTTTGATCTTTAAACAATTTTACCGAATCTTACTTACAACCACATTATATTCTCGACATGATCATCAACTGCAAATACACGAGTATAATACATTCTAATATGCTCGTTTGTTTTCTCGGGACCAGTACCTTCGTTCTCAACTCTTCTAAAGCTGTTTCGCTTCATGTCATAGTAGTAAACATACGATGGCTTTTTATCAAAGTAGTAATAAGAACGCTGAACCACGAAGATCTCCTCCGAACAACATCAATGGGTTTTCAGGCAACCAAAAACCAATCTTGGACCATTGTTGTTTCTCGGAGTTCTCCATAATCCACATTTTAGTATCTCGAAAATTAGATCGAGAGGTACCTGAAAATCTTCATGGTCGTTGTTTTCTTTTGATGATTTCTGCGTTGACATGATTCATGAAGGTGACCCACGAAAACGAAAACGTAAACTGAAACTCAAAAGAACAATCTGAAAACCAGAAAACGATCGTGTCAGGGAATTAGGGTTTTGGATACACAAAATAATTTAGGGTTTGCTCATAATGTGCTAACACACTTAAAAAATTCTCAGACCAAACAAAAGACATCGTGCCGTTTTACACTAAACGACTTTGATCAACGAATATGAAGGGATGGATAAGTGACATGTTATAGAGTGAATTTCTACAGAATAGGCAAAAACCCAACGTTAAACTGACATTTTTTTTAAAAAAAATTGTTACTTCTTACAAAATATGCAAACCAGGAATTCCAATTGAACCAAATTAACAATCAGGTTTCAACAGCCAACATATAAGAGCTTATAAATTTATAAGGCTTTTTGCGTTGTTTTTGTGATTGTTTTTGTCTAACATTTTCTTTTTGCGATTTCTCAGTTTTGATAGGAAATGTAGATTTTCGGCTTTTGACAGATAATGCGGTTTCTTGGTTTTCATGCGAAATTATGATTTTTTAGTTTTCGCGAGAAATTGCAATCTGACGATTTTGGTAGAAATTGTAATTTTTCAGTTTGATGGGAAAATAAAATTTTTCGGTTTTGGCGAGAATAAGCAATTTTTCGGTTTAGATGGAAAATGCAAATTTTCAGTTTTTGACGAATAATGTGATTTTTTTGTTTTCACGGAAAAACATAATTTCTCGGAAGATAATGCAATTTTTGGTTTTCACAAGAAATTATAGTTTATCTATTTTGGTAGGAAAGCGTGATTTTGTGTTTGACGAGAAAATGAATTTTTGGGTTTTGGTGGGAATAGACAATTTCTCAGTTTTTGCAGATTTTTTTTTTGTTTTGACGGAAAAATATGATTTTTTGGTTTTTGTAGAAAGATGAAATTTTTTGGTTTTGATCTCGGTTTAGGCGGGAATAAGTGATTTCTTAGTTTAATGGGAAAATGAAGTTTTTTTTTGTTTTGACGCGAAATGCGATTCTCAGTTTTTGTAAGAAGATGAAATTTTTCTGTGCTAAATTTTCAAGTTAAAATATATTTACAATAACCAAAATTTAATTATTTAACTTCTACTAAAATGATATTTCAACAGTTCAAACAAAATTTTCTATTTAGTTCTAAAGCAATAGCAATGGTTTTGATATGAATGTTATTGATTATAGTTTGGTAGTTTTAAAAATAAATTTTATAATTCAAGATAATTTTGAAAAATAAAAAAATAAAGATATACAATGTTTATTCAGATTTAAAACATATAAATACATAACTTAAGCTAATAAACAAATAAATATAATACTCATTTACATTATAAAATAATTTTATTATATTAAAAATATATACAAAATTTAGAAAAATATCGTAGCGCGGATAAATACTTAGTAATTTTAAATTATGTTTTTAAAAATCTAGTATTATTGGAAATTAGTTTACGTATAAAATTTATGTATTGGATGAGTGGATCTTGGGCCTAATAGGGCCTATAGATTCAGCTATTTAAAAAAAAAAAAAACTAGATATCCAAGAAAAAGCAGAGCCGAAGTCATTGTCGTTCGTCTCAAGTCTAACGAAAAGGATCTACTCCATCTAGGGTTTAATCGGCCATGAAGGAACTGAAGCAGAAGGTCTCGGACCCGATCCCATCTGATCTACTTATCGAGATATTCTTGAGAGTCCCGATAAAGTCTATAGGTAAGTTTCGTTGTGTATCGAAATCGTGGGGATCCATAATTCCTCGTCCTGATTTCACTGAGCTGTTTCTGACAAAGTCTTTGACTCGTCCACGGATCTTGTTCGTCATCAAAGATGAAAATAAAGAGTTATTCCTCTTCTCTTCACCTCAACCTCAAAATAATCAAGATGGTGGGGACTATTCTCTTGTAGCCACCCGTTATAATGATCTGCCTGAATATGTTCCAACTGAAATATGTCCCCCGGTCAGTGGATTAGTCTTTCTTCATGGATCGGGAATAAGAAGGTTGCGGATGATTTGCAACCCCGTCACTGGAGAGTCCATAGCCTTACGCCAAGTGAAAGCGAGGGGTCGAAAGAAGCTATTTTGGTTACGATCCGATCAAGAAACAGTTCAAAGTGTTGTGTATGATCTACAAGTCACGCTATGGAAGACCCAATACTCACCTGGTTTTGACATGGGGGACAGGAAAACGTGTTTGGAGAAACACGATGGAATGCAAACCCCAACATTATCTTCATACTGGAATATGCATAAATGGTGCTTTGTATTACGAAGCTTCCTCTGAAGAAGGAGGCCACGTGATGGTTTGCTTTGAATTTAACTCTGAGAAGTTCAGCTTTATTAAGATGCATGAGGAAATGTTAAGTGAAAATCATGGAATAAGTTTGACGAACTGCAAAGGTAAATTATGTGCACATTATTTTATTACCGAGGAGTTGTTTTGGAAGCGAGAGAGACTTGCGTTGTGGGTTCTAGAAGATGCTGGAGAACACAAATGGTCCAAACGTGTATGTGAACTGCCTCTTTTTGGGGGCGCGAGCATCGCGCGTAAGTGTTACATTGTTGGAATGACCGGTGCAGGTGACATTGTGTTTCAGCCGTACCAACGTTCATCAAACCCTTTCTACCTTTTCTTCTATAATATGGAGAGGAACACTTTTACAAGAGTTAGATTTCATGGATTCCCAGAGTTTGAGGATCAATTCATTCGAATTAGCACCTTTCTAGACTATGTAGAGAGTATGCCGAAACTTATGTAACCTTGAGAGTCTATTTTAAGCTTTGGACTTCAACGCTTATGGTATTATTGTTCCTCTTAAAAATTGCATGTATGGATTTCAGTTTTATGATACAGCTAGTTTTTTACTCTAAATTAATTTCTCATCACATATGATCTTTTGTTAGTTAGAGAATTTCTATTTCTGTTGGCTTTTAGGTTTGCTTAGCCTTTTTAATTGATTAGTTAGCTCTATGAGCAGTTCCAAATGCATCGTTAACATACACATCTTTAAGTACAGCAAGCTTGTTTGCAACTTCAAGGTCGTTCTTCACTTCTTTCTCGTAGATTCTCCAATAGTAGAATCAGTTTTTCACTTCTTTCTCGTAGAACCTCACAGATTCTCCAATAGTAGAACCAGTGCCCTGAATACCCTATGTTTAAAGAAACATTGGTGTATGTCACTTTTTAAAGAAAATTTTAGGGCATCAATTTTTTTGATAAAAATTAGTGATTTATTATTATTATTAAATTGTATATAGGTCTCAAATATGTTATAGATCTATACTTTACTTAAACCTAAATATATGTTTACATAAAATAAGTTAACAATTAGTTAATAATATTTAAAATACTAAAAGATGGTTATTGCGAGATAGGTTTTAAAATATTATTAAAATTTTCAAAATATATTGTTACTGTTTAATAAATTTTGACTTCCTTATTAACATCCAGTGTTATTGGTTTGATAATTTTTAAAATCTATAAAAAATTGGTTGTTATTCAAAAAATTTGCATTTTGAAAGATTTTATAATTCTATTAAAAAAATTGTTATTAGGATATTTATTTTAAATAAATTAGCACATAAGACAAATCTTTCAAAATATTAGTTATATCCCTAAGATTCTCAAAATCAATCACATTTTTTAAACATACAAACTCTCTCACAATCTAACGAAACTCATTACAAAATTTAATAAATCTCTCAAACTTTTAAAATCAATAAACTCTATATAAATCAATCTCCCAATAACCTCTCTTTTAAATAAAAGAAAAATGGCAATGATCATTATTATTGAAGAATTAGAGATAGAATATTATTAATGATTCCAGTTCCAGTTGCATCTGCCGAAAGGAATTTTTCAAAGCTGAAGTTGATAAAAATATATTTTCGCACGACTGTGTCACAAGAAAAATTGAATGATTTAGCTATATTATCTTAAGAGTACTACTAAAGAAGATTGATTTTGAAAATTTGGTTAACAATTTTATAAAAAAAGAAATAAAAATTAAGTTTTAAAATTATACTTTAAATTAATAATTTATTTATTTTTATTTTTTTGCTATGTGACAATCATATCTATTGTTATATATGGATTTTTTTTAATGAGAGCATTTTTTTTCTTATTCACTTATGCATGCTATCAAGGTTGGTAGCTCTGAGAAAAATCTGAAGCCAATTTCTGATCAATTTTTAAACATAGATAGACACACTATGGTTCTGCTATTGGAGAATGTGTGAGGTTCTACTAAGAAGAAGAGAAGAACGACCCTGAATTTGCAAAGAAGCTTGCTGTACTTAAAAATGTGTATGTTCACGATGCATTCGGAACTGGTCATAGAACTAACTAATCAACTAAAAGGGCTAAACAAACCTAAAAGCCAACAGAGACAGAAATTAGCTAACTAACGAAGATCATATGTGATGAGAAATTAATTTAGAGCAAAAACTAGCTGTATCATAAAACTGAAATCCATATGTGCCGGGTGCCCGCGGGCCAAGCCCAAATAGGATTGTGACCCTTTTTTTTTTTTTGCCACGTTCTGTGTGATTCCCCCTCGTCAACAATTTAGGTTCAAATGACTGAGCAGAGGAGTCAGCAGTGGTCATCTTCATTGTTTATTTGAGGAAGCAACGTCCGATAATAGAGGAAGGCTAATTCAACCTTGCAGGTGTATAAAGTGCAAAGATATAATCTACAGTCAAAGCGCGCCAAGGGATAGCAAAAACCCTAATTTCGCCGACGAAGAAAACATGCCGGAGCTTCCGGAAGTAGAAGCGGCGAGGAGAGCGATAGAGGATCATTGTCTAGGGAAGAAGATTACGCGAGCCATCATCGCCGACGACAACAAAGTGATCGATGGAGTCTCGCCGTCCGATTTCCAAGCCTCAGTCCTCGGAAAAACCATCGTCTCCGCTCGTAGAAAGGGGAAAAACCTCTGGCTCGAGTTGGATTCCCCGCCATTTCCTTCTTTCCAATTCGGTAATTCCCCTCTGAATCAATTTTTAGGGTTTTCCACCTTCTCTTCCATTTCACCCAAATCCAGGGATTTTTGATTAGATTAAAAATCGCATTCGAAATCGAACATTTTGCGAAAAATGCAGGACCTTTTTGCTTTAATGCATGAGAAAGGAGTGAAAGTTTTAGGCTTTATTGTTTCTTAGAAACTAAATTTGGTTTTTGGGTTCATGTGTTTCTTCTTCAGGTATGGCTGGTGCTGTCTATATCAAAGGCGTAGCAGTCACTAAATATAAAAGGTGAAGAAGGTTTTATGGAGTTTGTGAAGTCATTTACTACAATTTGCTTTGATAAGTATGGCTGGTGCTATTTACATGATTGATGTGTGTTACATTCTTTTATATAGATCAGCTGTAAAGGACTCAGAGGAGTGGCCATCAAAGTATTCAAAGTTCTTCGTCGAGGTTGAGAAACTTTATTAAATCTTCTTCTTAAATGGTAAGGTGTGACTCAGTTACAATGGAGTTCTCTTTCTGTATACAGCTTGATGATGGTCTGGAGCTTTCGTTTACTGACAAGAGGAGATTCGCCAAAGTCCGACTTCTGGCAAATGTATGAATGGTGAAACTCTGTTTTGGTTGCTTTTCTGCGGGGACTAGTGATTTGTGTAACTGATGTTTGATGTTGCACAGCCTGCTTCTGTGCGTCCGATATCAGAGCTTGGTCCTGACGCATTGTTGGAGCCTATGACAGTTGATGAATTCGCCAAAAGCTTAGCGAAAAAGAAAATAACCATTAAACCTCTCCTACTTGATCAGGTTCAGAGAGTTTAACTTCATTTCTCTCTCACATTTATGCGTTTCTCAGCTCTTTTTTAGAGGATCATGGATCTCTTCGCTTTTGCAGGGTTTTATTTCAGGTATCGGGAACTGGATCGCCGATGAAGTGTTGTACCAAGTAAGCTCTTCAAAACTTGAGATGAACCATAACCACTCGTTTGATTCACAAAGTAACCACTTTTGTTTTCAAATTTGTACAGTATAAGATTCGATTTACATGGTGTAGGATTAAATTCTGCTTGCGTCTCTCTCTTTTGCAGGCAAGGATCCACCCGTTGCAGACTGCTTCTAGCCTCTCCAAAGAGCAATGTGAAGCTTTGCACACGTCCATCAAAGAGGTAAGACTCTTAAAAACCCGCCAAAACATTTACCTACAAAACATGGGAATACATGCATGATGCATTGCGTATTTGGGATTTAGAGAGAGAACAAAAAACCATATTTGTAGGTCATTCAACATGCGGTTCAAGTCAGTGCAGATAGCAAAGAGTTTCCTGTTGAATGGTTATTTCATTTTCGGTGGGGGAAAAAACCGGGGAAAGTTAATGGTAAGCTTTCCTCACCATCTACGTATAGTTTTGATGAAAAGCAGAATTGGGTTTTTGCAGGTGATTGAAAAAGCTGTGGAAGTTGATGCAGACAGTAGTCAGTTTCCTAGTGAATGGATTTTTCATTCTAGGGAAGGGAAGCCGGGAAAGGCTTTTGTTGATGGTCTGAATCCCAGATTTCACACTCAAACTCTTTATCTAGCTTACAACAGCTCATATAAATGTTTTGAGATGATAACACCATAGTAGCGGCTTAAAAGTCACGAGAGTGAATTGTGGGATTGGTAATGATGTCTGCTTTGATTATTGCAGGGAAGAAGATTGACTTCATCACTGCTGGTGGAAGGGTAAGTATATATATATATATATGCATTGTTAGGCACTGTTGTTTTGTGGGTGATTGATTCATGTAGTGAACTGAAAAATGTATCTTCTGTAGACAACAGCTTATGTCCCAGAGCTGCAGAAACTCACTGGGAAAGACGCTGAGAAAGCAACCAAGGTTAGAGCGGGTAAAAGAGGTGTAAAATCCAAAGAAGACGATGGAGCAGAAGATGAGCAGGAATCGGAGAAAGAAGATGATAGTGGTAAACCAAAGAAAGGACAGAAACCTAAGGGTCGTGGTAAGAAGCCTGCATTGAAGAGGAAAGCAGAAGAAAGTGACGACGAGGACGATGATGCTGATGGTGGAGATGATAGCGAGGCTGATGAGGAAGTTTTGAAACCCAGAGGCCGTGGTACAAAACCTGCGACAAAGAGGAAAGCTGGAGAGAAAGCTGCTAGCCAAGCTGGTAAGAAGCCAAAGGGAAGGAAAAGTTGAGAAGTCAACAGCTCCAAGATGTGTTTTTTTTTTTTTTGTGGGTAGCTATCAGTAACACTTGCCCCATATTTTGTAAGAAATCATGTTGGAAACGTTGGACGTCGGTAACGCTTTGTGATGCTATTATTGCTAGTTACCTTTGTTGATTTGATTACCTTTGTCCTCCTCGTTTGTTGAATTTGGAAGTCAGAAAAACCCTCGGAGGGCAGCAACTACTTTCTCTGGCCTGTATACAAAGTTCAAAATTCAGAAAGATTCAGAAGAATCAAGCCAAAGCAGAGCAGAGCAGTGTGTGTGTATCAATCAACATACCAGTCTTCCTGAGGCAAATGGCCAGCACCTTCGATGAGTCGAAGCTTGACATTTTGAGGGTTTTGTTTCTCAAATTCCTCTGCTATAGACTGAGGAAGGTACTTATCAGCTATTCCCCAGGCCAGGAGCATGGGCTTATCCCAGCTGTAAAGGAACCAAATCTCAGCAAAATATCTGTAGACATGGGGATTTGTAAAAAGGTTCAGAGATATGCACGTACCTGCCTGATGAAAACCCATTCGCAATTTGACTCAAGGTGTCTCCGAAGTTGATCTTCTTCGCAGTCTCGAGCAAGGCTAAACTCTCCAGAATCTCACGATGAGAAGTCTTTTACATAAAGCATAACATCATAACAAAACAAGAGTAATGTGGTTCAGAGACGTACCAAAGCCAGGTCCTCCGCTTGACAAATATGGTAGACGATAGACATCAGCTTTCTCATTCTTCAGCACGTAGCTATCAAAAACAGATGTGAAAGGTAAGGCATCTTGGAGCTAAGGTAAAAGAGAATACACACTCCACATAAAGAAAGCTTAATGGTTAAAAGTTGATACATACGGGCTACCTCCTTCAATGAACCGCTCGGCCAAGATAGCATTTTGGCACGTGAATTCACCAAAGAGTGGGATTCTGCAACAGAAGCAAATGAATTCACCAAAGAGTGGGATTGTGAGAATCATGAGTAGATAAATCAAGTCACACGAGGCTTGATGCTTCCACGAAAGAGAATGAACCTCAGCTGCTTGAACAATCCAGGAACTGGAGATGAAACGGTGAGTGGAGTATTAAGGATCGCAAGTTTCTCAATCTTGCTTGGATTTTTCAGTGCCCATGTTAAACCGTATGAACCTACAAGAAACCCCTTGGGAGAGACCACAACAAATGCGAACATAAGTTATACGAAAACAGCTTCGATGAGTTTGCAAACAGGTTATGCAGATAAATGGGACCACCAGTACACAAAAGATCCGAACCTGAACAACGAGAAAGAAAGGAGCTTTGACCTCTAGCACGTCTAGCAGTTTATCAAACGCCTCATGATACTCTTTCTCTGAGAAACAAAAGAAAAAAAGATTGAAACTTCATAAAACAATGAACCATATATATAGTATAAAGATTTTGCATTTCACAAAACAAACCTGTGTAATTAAAGCCATATCCTGGTTGTGGCTTGTCACTGAATCCGAATCCTATCCAGTCAGGTGCAAAGCAATGAAACCCAGCTTCTGACATCTATTACATTTGGTTGAGAAGACACACAAAAAGATCAATACAAGATTTCACATGCATACTCAAGATTATAAAATCTCCTTTTTTCGAGTAGATCAAGATTCAGTTTAGCACCTGAGACATGACAGACCGGAAACTAAAAGACTGAGTTGGAGCTCCGTGAACAAAGACAATGGTTCCTCGACGACTCTCCTTTGATCCTGCCGGAAAAAAAAAGAGAAACAATGATGATCAGTGATCAACTCTTTTATTGAAGCAAGAAGAAACACAAAGCTTATGAAAACGTGTTTGTACCAGTTTCTCTCACAAACCATCTAAGCTTCCCGGATTTGATGGTCGAACCAAATTCTCTTCCTTTATCTTCAGTCCTCTAAACCACAAAACCAAAATCACAACGATCAACAAAAGCAGAAGATGAAATAAACTTGCTTCTTTGTTTTCATGTGTAATTTGAAAGCAGAAGCAACTGTAAAGTGTTCGTCTTGGCAAAATCCATTTTCATTTCAGTAACAACCCATTTTCAAGTATTCAATTTTCAGTTCAAAGTTTGATAAAATTTGAAATGGTAGATAAGTTAACTCACGTAGAGCATCTGGCCGACGTTTCCGTCTTCCGCCGGAGATTCCGGCAGCTGAATTGCGCTCCGGCTCGACGGATTGTCAGTGACAAAGCCAAATGGATTGAAAGACGGATCGTCCTCGCGATCATTTCCACCGCCCTTTCCCTTCTCCGACGTCGCGCTGACGACGGACAAGCGGAATTTCGACGGCGTATCTCTGACTCTAGAGACGGTGGATTTATTCGCGACGGTGGAGGGGAATGAGTGGAGCAGAGGAAGAGGAGAGAACAGAGACAAAGGCATATTTTTTTTCTTTTTTTGATTCGTCAAGTGAAAGCGTATTTCCTCAATTTATATATGTCCGCCTACGAAGAAAAACATAATTGAAAATTTTAGTGGATGATAATTTAAAATCAAATTTGAGGGTAAAATCTAGAAATTGAAAAACATTAGGATTGTTTTGATATTCTACTAAAATATAGGGGCTTAATTCTCCGTTTTTCTGTGAAACGACAACGTTTTATCATAGGGAGGTTAAACTGTCAGAATTAAAAACTTCCGGGTTTTCTCTAATAGATAGCAAAACGATAGGGGGCTTCCCTGATATTTAACGAAAATACAGGGGCTTGATTTTTTGGTGTAAAGAAACGACGGCGTTTAGTAGCACGTGCTTTTCAACCTGTGAAACCCTAAGGTGTCTTGTTCTATGGAAATGCTAGAGTCACCAGTCGAGCCCCAAAAGAACCTTCACCGTCAGAAGAAGAAGCATAACTACTAACCGCCTTAAAAGGTCAATACCCGCGCAAATTTCATTCTCGGGTCGGATCTCCGTCCAAAACCCGACCGGATCCATCCCGGACCGATCAATTTCACGATTGTTCTCCGGCAAAGTGAATAAAGCCAAGTATTTTCAAAAAAATACCTACGAATTGAGAAAGAGGATCAAGAGGGGCCAGAGCTAGCTCCAATGGAGAGAAGTGATTCCGGCGATGGAGATGTATGAACTCGAAACCCTCTTTTGTTTTCCCTTTTTATAAATCCTGAAATTTTGCTGAAGATTATGCATCGATTCGTCAAGCTCTTGTTTTTATTAATATGATTACTATTTTGAAACCTCAGTGGGGTATTTTAGTGGTGGTGATTGAGTAGGGTTATCTCTAGTGATCAAAGTTTGTAGCTTTATTCAAATTTCGGAGTTTGCAAGTTTTACATTTTTTTTTTATCATCATTGATGTTGCATTACAGGTAGAAGCATCTACGTATTTACAAACCGACGAGACCCACGAAAGAGACGATCCAATGTCAGATGGTGGATGCACTTTAAGGATAGGAGACGCTCTGGTTTCTAGTGGTGAGCATGAGATCGACATTGGATTTACTCAAAACGAACAAAGAAAGAGCGAAGAAGGAGAAGGAGAAGAAGAAGAAGAAGAATCTACGGGAGAGTTTGATGAACAGACTGGTTTACCTCTTGAGAGTAAAGACTTCGATGCGCCAGCAGTTGGAATGGAGTTTGAGTCATACGATGATGCGTATAACTACTATAACTGCTACGCCACGGAAGTTGGATTTCGAGTAAGAGTGAAGAACTCATGGTTCAAGCGACGTAGCAAAGAGAAGTACGGTGCGGTGCTTTGTTGCAGCAGCCAAGGCTTCAAGAGGATCAACGATGTGAATCGTGTGAGAAAAGAAACAAGAACTGGTTGTCCTGCAATGATAAGAATGAGGCAGGTTGATTCTAAGAGGTGGAGGGTGCTTGAAGTTACGCTTGACCATAACCATTTGCTCGGTTGCAAGATATACAAGTCGGTCAAAAGGAATGGGACTGGGACCAAGAGGAAGTGCGCAGACTCGGATGCTAAGACGCTTAAGCTGTACCGTGCTCGTGTCATGGATACTGAGAGCAATGTGGTACCGAGCTCGACTCTGAAACAACAGTTTCAGAATCCGGATTTGCTGAGCCTTAGAAGAGGAGATTCCGCAGCTATCTACCACTACTTTTGCCGTATGCAACTGACAAATCCGAACTTCTTCTACCTGATGGATGTTAACGATGAAGGTCAGCTCAGGAACGTCTTCTGGGCTGATGCTTTCTCTAGAGTTTCTTGTAGTTACTTTGGCGATGTAGTCTTCATCGACAATACTTATATCTCCGGGAAATTCGAGATCCCGCTTGTGACATTCGTCGGTGTGAATCACCATGGACAAACCACAATGCTTGGTTGTGGCCTTCTCGCTGGAGAGACGATCGAGTCTTACCATTGGTTGCTCAAAGTGTGGCTCGGTCTCATGAAGTGCTCTCCTCAAACCATTGTCACAGACAGATGCAAGCCTTTGGAGGCTGCGGTTTCACAAGTGTTCCCGAGGTCTCATCACAGATTCAGCCTGACTCATATAATGAGGAAACTCCCTGAGAAGCTAGGAGGGTTGCATAGCTACGATGGCGTGAGGAAGGCGTTCACGAAAGCAGTCTATGAAACCTTGAAAGTTGTTGAATTTGAAGCAGCTTGGGGTTTTATGGTTCACAGTTTCGGTGTCATCGACAATGAATGGCTTCGTTCTCTATACGAAGACCGAACTCGATGGGCTCCGGTTTACCTGAAGGACACGTTTTTCGCGGGAATCGCTAATGCTCGTCCCGGAGAAACCTTGAATCCGTTTTTCGAGAGGTACATTCACAAACAAACACCGTTGAAAGAGTTTCTTGATAAGTACGAGCTAGCTCTTCAGAAGAAGCACAGGGAAGAGACTCTCGGCGACGCAGAGTCTCTCGCGTTGAACACTGCCGAGCTTAAAACAAAGTGTTCTTTCGAGACACAGCTCTGGAGAATCTACACGAGAGACATGTTCAAGAAGTTCCAAGTAGAGGTCGAAGAAATGTACTCGTGTTTCAGCACGACGCAGCTTCATGTAGATGGTCCCTTTGTGATCTTCCTCGTGAAAGAACGTGTCCAAGGCGAATCCAACAGGAGAGAGATCCGAGATTTCGAGGTTCTGTACAACAGATCGGTCGGCGAAGTACGGTGCATATGTAGCTGCTTCAACTTCTATGGCTACTTGTGCAGGCATGCTCTCTGTGTTCTCAATTTCAACGGCGTCGAAGAGATACCTTTGCAGTATATTCTACGGCGATGGAGAAAAGACTTCAAACGGGTTCAAGCGGCTGATAACGGCGTGACCGGTTTTGTCGATGGCACGGACCGGGTTCAATGGTTTGATCAGCTGTATAAAAGCGCTCTTCAGGTTGTTGAAGAAGGAGCGGTTTCTTTGGATCATTACAAAGTGGCAATGCAACTTCTTCAAGAGTCTTTGGAGAGAGTTCATAGCGTAGAAGACAAACAAGAGTAGTGTTTAGTGTTTAATTATAGAAGGATTTGTGAAACCATATCCGTACATAAAAATAAATTAATTTTTTTTTGTTTTGCTGTAAGAGCTGTAACAAAGATGCGTAGAGCAAAAATTGATGCAAATACGTAATAATTTGATTGGTAATCATCATTATAAATTAAGCCAAAAAATAATTATAATAAGTTACTAGGTGGTTGCCCGTACATATGTGCCGATATAATTTTTTTTATATACATAGTTAATTTTAATATTTAAATATTGATTAATTTTTTTAAACATTAGTATGTTTATATATATATTGTTTTAATATTTTACAAACTTCTTTCTGAAATCAATGAATTTTAAAATTTTTATTTTTATAATACTTATAAAAGTTACTATTATTTTAACATCATTATAAATTAAGCCAAAAAATAATTATAATAAGTTATTAGGTGGTTGCCCGTACATATGTGCGGATATAATTTTTTTTATATACATAGTTAATTTTAATATTTAAATATTGATTAATTTTTTTAAACATTAGTATGTTTGTATATATATTGTTTTAATATTTCACAAACTTCTTTCTGAAATCAATGAATTTTTAAATTTTTATTTTTATAATGCTTATAATAATATATAATCACAATTATAAAAGTTATGTTAAATAATTATTAAATTCTTATAATATTTTTTGAATATTTCTATAATATACTTTTTTCTCTTTACACAATCTACAATATGTTTTTTTACGTCTTACATAATATGAATTTGCAGATACATATATAATATATTTTAAGTATATATTTTTTCTTGATTTATTGTAAATTAAACTGAAATATTTTTTACTATTTTTACTTATTCTTAAGAGCCGATAAATGGTGGGCATGCATGTACGGACATACCAACCACTTCACTACACTTATAATACATAAATATTTTTTAAAAAAATATAAATTGTATAATAATTAAAATAAAAATTAGACTGTAATCAATTTTAACAAAATACATGTACGAAAAAGTTCGCATATGACTTTAATTAATGTACAATTAATATTTATGTATATACACGTATTTGTAAAAAAATTGAAATATGATTCTTAGGTGTTAAAATTGATATTCCTTATCTATTTTAACCCAATGGGCCTCTAAACATGTATCCTAATGAGACTAATGGGCCTGTATCTAATTCATTTCCAAAATCTCCAAATTTTTTGACGATTCCCTCTCTTCCAGAATTGGGGTAAATTCAAGAATCTGCTTTGGCGCAAAATTCAAGATTTTTTCTTCGCTGCTGAGTTCGTTGTTCATAAGGTTTTTCTGGATTTTTCGTCTTTCACAAATATATTCTCCAGAAGTTTCATACAGATTTGTTGATTTCTTCTTTCAATTTGCAACAGCTAGATTTTCCTTCATCCACGAGACGGTTCTTCAACTTTCGAGAAAATCCGATCTAATAAACTCTGTAGATTCTGGTGAGTGGTTTTATCTAATAATCGTTTCAATTCATGGATCTCTGATGATAATCGGTCGGTTTTGTAACTGTAGAAGCTTCGAGAAAACTTGATTATAATGGAGGACAGTTTTGCTTTCCTTTGTAATTTTCACCCGAATTCGATAAACTCGTGGTTTATTGAATCTGGGCTTTTAGTGTTATGAGAATCGCTTTAACCTAAACATTTTCCCAGAATCTATTAGATGAACACCTTCAATATCAATTTTGCAGCAGTATATATTGATTTCGTCTTGTTTCTCTGTAACAGTGAAGTCTTACTGTAAAAAAAAAACTCCGGAGAGATGAAGTTCAAGGCGTTTCTGACTGAGAACGGTGTGAGTCTCTTGGAGAAGAGGTTTCTCCCAGCGTTTGACAAAATGGGCAAGACCTGTTACGTTTTCCTCACGAAAGAGCACTTGTTCTTCCTCCACAACCTTCTCAACGGCGACGGAGTCCAGTGCATTGCTCAGTTCCGCAAAGACGTTCTCTTCGACGACTACCGTCTGTCGAGCCAGAACGAGGACCGCATCGCCTTCTCCTTAGACGTCTCCCTCCTGTACCGAGCCGTGAAGAGCAGCGTCAGCATCTGTACCGAGTTCAGCGGCGGGTTAGCTTCGAACCGGCTCCAGATCAAGCTGGTCAAGAAGCTGCCTCCTAACTGCACACAGCCCATGCCGTTCCTCACGTTCGAGACCAAGGGGTACAAATCAGCAGTCATCCAAGACGTTCCCATCTCGAAACCGCTGTCTCGGTCCCAGGTCGTCGAGCTTCAGACCGCTCTTGACTCGGCTCAAGACCTGCCTCCTACTCTTGTTCAAGTGCAAGACCCGAACCAGCTGCAGAACTTTGTGGACAATATGAAACACGTTGGTGACGTTCTTAGCGTCACGATAAGCAAGCACGGTGACCTTCAGGTACAAATCTCGACGACCTTGATTAGGCTCGGCTCCGAGTTCCAGAGGCTTTCGATTGTCGGCGACAAGTCTCAGGCTCCTGTTGAGGATCGGAACTTAAGCGCTCAGGCTCGGTCTGAGAGAGCGATTGCTAGAGGTGATGCTCAGTCTGTGCAGGTGAGTGTAAAGCACTTTTCAAAAAGCCTTCATTGTCACTTTACCAAACCAGATTCAGCTTTCTATGGGATTGCTCCTCAGGGCTCTTGCTTGACTGTGATCTTCCAGTTCATGGTTCCCGGTACACGCCAAACCGATAAATCAATCAGTCTTCATTGCCGGCTTCCGGTTCTGGATCCTGGTTCTAGCTGAATGAATCATCTTCATTAAGGTTATTAACTCAAAAGGCTTATATGATCAGAAATGTTTGTAATTTGCTTTTATCAGAAAGACTTTCCATAAAGACTCAAAATATGTACTCCATTACACTACCTTCCAAGCTCTCAAGCATCAATGACCAAAATCAAATGTTAAAATGTAATGAAAACAAAAACACAAAAATAAACTTAATAAAACCAGATTTTTGCAGAAGAAAAGGAAATAAAAGAATGTGTGAAATCGAATATAGCAGAGATAAATTAATCTATTCTTGTTCTTGTTTTTGATGGTCCTCTTCTTCAGAAATGATCTCTGAGCTTTCGTTTATAACATTTCTTCCGTTGCTTCTGTTGAAGAGTGTATGAGCTTCAAGATAAGACATTTTCTCCTTGGACCCATTCATTAGCATCTCCACAACTTCAGACATTGTCGGTCTCTTCTCTGGCTCACTCTGAGCACACATAAGCCCAATCAAAACCACTCTCTTCAGCTCCTCTTCTACAAACTTCCCGTTTAGCCTCTGATCCACAATCTCACCAAACTTTCTATCGTAAACCAAAGGTAAAACCCATTCGGTTATACCCCGTTTCGTTGTTTGGTTTAGCTTCTCTATAGGTCTCTTACCAGTTACAAGCTCAAGCAAAACAACACCGAAGCTATACACATCTCCCAGGTCTGATTCTTTCCCTGACTCAACACATTCCGGTGAGAGATACCCAAGATTATTAATACCATTCTTGGTGGTTTTAGCAGCTCCATCTTCTGGCATCATTTTACTGTATCCGAAATCCGAAACCCGAGCTTCAAACTCAGAGTCGAGCAGCACATTGCTTGCTCTCACATCTCCATGGACTATTCGAGGTGTTGCAAAATGGTGCAAGTAGCTGTACAATTACAAATAAAAACAGCAAAACAATCAGTCTAACGGTAGATACTTCCGATTTATCTGAAACCATTTTTTGATCCTGAAGAAGAAGAAGAAGAAGACTTACGCAATTGCCTGAGCAGAGGTTACTGCGATGTTCATCCGCCTGGTCCAATCAAGAAGCGACTCAGAGGAGTGCAGACCATGAAGATGTGAGACCAAGCTCAGATTTGGCATGTACTCATACACAATGAGCCGTTCTTGTCCTTCTGCACAGTAACCTCGTAAACTCAATAGATTCTTGTGGCGAATACGGGCGAGAACCTCGGCTTCTACAGCAAAATCTATCTCTTCTCTGTTGCTCCATGCCTTGAGTCTCTTGACTGCAATCTACAGACACAACAACAACTCATTAAGATAAATGAAAATCAATGAGACCAAATCTGCACATTGTTGTATGAAGTAAAAAACGGCCAAGCAAGTTCTAGATAACATTACTTGAGATCCATCCCAAAGCTGACCCCAATACACACTACCAAATCGGCCTTCGCCGAGTTTGTTATCATAATTAAAGCTGTTTGTGGCTGCGTGAAGTTCCTTGAGTGAAAATATCCTCCATGATTGTTCAGCTTTCACCTTCTTTTTCCTGTGTAAATGTGATGACATCAAAAACAAATAAACATTAGTTTCTTTTTTTTTTTCCTTCTCCTTAGGTTATCAAATCTGAAACTGAAGCTAATCCAACAGTAGAAGAAAAGTTTACACTAAAGAAGAGATTTTGAACATGAAATAGGCTCCTAAAATCAAGCATCCGAGAACTCGAAAAACTTAGAGAATCTCAAAACCCTAGTTAGGAAGAACATCAAAACGGATGAAACCAAGAGCAAATTTCGGAGGAACCCAACAATGGAGAAATCAGATAACCGATAAAACAGCAAATCATTTTAATCAGGATAAACCCATACTTACCGATCAAGTCCTTTTCCACAACCGAAGCAACTGAAAAATTGCATCTTTGAACAACCCACAAACAAAAAAACTCTCTTGATTATCAGCTACTTTCGTTTGTAGACTCTTCCTCGTCGCTACAGAGAGAGAGAGAGAGAGAGAGAGAGAAGAAAAAGATAGAGAGGAAATGCAAAGGTAACGCCTTTTTCCCCTGGAGAATGTAACAGCAAAGCAAAGGAAACTCCTCTGGTACTCAAACTTCGTCTTAATGACTTTATTTTTACTTCTTGGAGAAGAGAAACAAATACTAGAATCTTTCCTTTGTGTTTAGCTGTTTTTAATTTGAAAAAAAAAATGTACTTTATTAAAAAAATTAGTAGGAATGATTGGTGCATATCTACACATATGTACATATATTTTATAGTAGTATTATTTAAAATAAAGGTATGATTATTGTATATATTACTTTTTGGATTTGAAAGCTTTCCTTTTCATGACCTGTTGATCATGACTCATGACAACTAATCAAAGAATTCTTGGTGAATCTGCAATTAAAAATTGTCAACAAATCTTTTAAATACTAGTTTTTAATTTTTTTAATTGTCTCTAGATATAGGGAGTTATTTGTTAAAATTAGATTTAAAGAAAAAAAAACAAATTTGAGAATAATTAAATACGCTAAATGCTCGGGGTTATCGAAACTTAATGTTTTGCTCTTATCACAAAACAATACTCATTTCTAAGTTCTAACATACTTGATTCACTAAAATAGACCCAACCAAATCATTACATGTATCTGATTATTTCATATAATGAATTATGAATGATTAACACCATTATTTATATTTCTGCAATTCTTCTCCAACTATAGCCACTGAAACTAAAAGTTTCCCTTTTGTAATACTATTTAGAAAGGGAGCCTCTTTCTTCCTTGTAATGCTCAAGTCCAGAAGAACAAAACTCAAATTAATAGTGCAAGAAAGGTCTTGAATCATCTCGCAAGACCTATACAAGAAAGTTGAAGAAAGAAAGACTTTTCAGTCAATGAAAGAAGATGTAAATCCAACTTTATTGTTCTCTCGTATTGTCTCTTATGAAGCTAGCCTCACCAACAGACCAATAACTAAACATCAAGAGAGTAAAACCCAGAAGAAGAAAGAAAATGGTGAGCCTTTTAGATCACATTCACTGGTTGCAAAAGGAAAAGGTGTGTAAATCCCCTAATGCTTATAACAGAAAACTCTACAAAAATTTGTCTAACTGTCGCAAGATAATCAAAACTTGAATGTTTCATAGACATATAGTTCAGTGTTGGTAATGCTAGATCCTATGCATCTCGGTTCTACATTTCACATACTGTATCTTAATCATCTTGAGCTGCTTGAGGATGCTTAGAAGCTGGGATCTTACTTGTCTAGCAAAATCAAGTTTTTCTAGTATAAACTGTGATATTACATACAAGAAAGATGCTTACATTACACACATGTGCAGAGGAGTTTTCACCAATCATCAATCATCATCATCCTATAATATGTTTACTATTTGAAACGCGAACCTTTCTTCCCTTTACCATTTCCTCTGTCTTTCCCTTGTAATGCTGAAGCCCAGAAGAAGAGAGAAATCCAAATTAGTAGTGCAAGAAAGATCTGTACACGGTCTTGGATCATCGAAGCTACTTCCACAATACCTTTTAACAAGACAAAAGGAAAGACTTTTTGTAAGAGAATGGCATCAGATGAGAAGCAAAAGACGTCTTCTAAACCCCTAATGCTCTATAACAGGAAGAAGCTCCACAAATTTTGTCACTGGATATCAAAAATTTGAATTTTCCATGAACACATTTTCAGTTTTGCCTATAGAAGATTTTAGTCAATATACTAACTCCAATTTCGATGGATCTCTATAATAAATATACCAACCAACAAAAGAGTGACGATGCTTCAGTGAAATCATCTCCATTCCCAACTCCAATTTCGTAATACTATACACAGCAATATCATCGGATTGCGAATAATGAAAAAAAACAGAATTGGCAGCAAATAAAACATGAGCTCAGAGTTAAAGCATAGAAATTTGTGGGTAAGAAGAATGAGGACGAACTTTTCGTGCTTCGAGGTGGTGGTGGATCGGGACTGGGTGGAGTTGGAGGACGGAGAGGAGAGACGGCGATGCGTCGTACGCGGAGAGGAGCCGCGGCGAGGAAGAGGGTTTGAGGATGAAGTCGAGAAGGCGGAGGAATAGACGGAGACGCAAGAGAAGGAAGGTGAGAGTGGTTTTGATTGAAGCGATGGAGGTAAAGGTTGGAGCTTGAACTCGCGCTGGAAAACGCCGTCGCCATTTTCTTCTTAAGATACTTTTGGTACCTTCTTTTCTCTTTAATTTTTTTTTTATTTTTCTTTTCTAATTTTTATCGGTTATCAAAGGTTTTTTTTTTTTTTCTTTCTTATTACGTCTTTTCCATTTATATGTTTTTATATGTTTTGAGAAATAGGTGGAAAAAATAGGGAAATACACACCTACAACCAAAAAAAAATTCAAATTTTAATTTTAAATATAGCACAATCATTTGATAATAAAATAAAAATTCTAGATACTTGAGAATTCTAAATTTACAAAGAATCTCTATAATAATGGTGGGTTAATATTTTGTATTATTTGGTATGAAGGAAAATAACAAAATGAGGACAGAATTCACAAATCACAATTGCAAATGAAAGTTTGGTATTTGCAACTTGATTTTGCGCACATTATTACGAGTATTTGCAAGTGATCCCAATGGCACAAATAAACATAAAACATTCAAATAAACCCATAAAAGGATACAACATTCACTCCTCAATTGATTATTCCATCAGAGAAACAAACCCAAAAAAAAAGCGTATCTCTACTCAACAGAAATCTCCTGAACATCCTTCTTTGGCTTCTCCGTCCTAGGAATCACAACATTGAGCACACCGTTCTTGAGCTCTGCCTTAATTTCCTCAACCTTAGCATCATCAGGCAACGACAAGCTCGTGTTGTAACAACCATAGCTCTTGGAAGACCAGTACTCCTCTTCTTCAGGTGAGCCTTCTTCTTCCTCTGCTTTGTGTTCTCCTTTGATCATCAAAATTCCATTATCTACCGTGATCTTCACGTCATCTTTGGTTAGCCCTGGGACCTCATACCTAAGTTTGTAACAGTCGTCTTGCTCTTTCACTTGACCCATTAGTTGAGATGGTCTGATGTTGAAGTTGTCGAAGATCCTGTTTATGTTTTCTGTTGCTTGCATCAGAGCGTTTTCTAGATTCGGAGGAAAGAACTCTTTTTTTGTACCAAAAAAAGAAAGAAAGAAAGAGGTTAATCAGTTAGTTAGATTTATCTGATTCAATGCAACACAAACGTAACATAATCCAAAGTTTTTCTGTCAATTTAAATATGTAAATGTAAGCATAACCTCTGTTCACAGTCCAATATCAAAACTTGGAAACGAAATACCCATCAATGTTGCAAATTTCATGAAAATTCTCTGAACTTTAAAAGGTTTAATACTAAATTCTAAGTTTATAAAAAACTAGAAATAAACACTAAATTTAAAATAGACTCCGTAAATTTTAAAATAATATAAATTTTTCACAAACTATTGACTTACAAAAACACTTTCTTACATTACTATGGAATTCTTTGTGAATTTGAAAACTTGTGAATCTTTTTAATTTTAAAATTTTGGCTCTGTTGTTAAAATAAACATAAAATGCATATTTTAAAAAATTTGGCTTAAAAAGTATTTCAGTAATGAACTAAAATGACAAACATTTAATCAATTGATATTAAACATGTTTCTGATTATTACACTGATCATAGTAACAGAATCATACCATTTAGTGCGGGAACGAAGTAGTCACGATCGTCGGTGTTACGCCAGAGACTTCTCCGGCCACGTCTCCGGGGGAAAATCCGTCGAGGAGATTTCTTCTCAGAGACACTTACTTCAGTGTTATTCTTTTGCTCTTGTTCACCAGCAGAAGTAGCCATGAATCTGCTCAGTATCCTCTTGTTATGTCCTAAGCCCCTTTCACAATTTGGACCCATCAAAGTAGGAGACAACTTTTGTTGAAGGTTTCTCAAAGCCAAACGAGCTAGAGCCATTTCTTTGCAAATCAATAAGTTTTCTTAATTTTGTTTCCTTTTCCAGAGTTTGATAGAAAAAAGCCAAGAATTGTTGTGTTTATAAAGATGGATTTTTGGGCTTTACTGTAAGGTTTCTGAGAGGTTTGAGAAGTTTCCAAGAGTTTCTAGGTTTATTTGGAAACCTAAAACAGAGCAGCTTCTTGTTTCTTCTACAACCTTTCTCTGGATAAATCACAAGATTCTTTTTCTTTTTAATATATATCTGTTTTAAAAATGATTAAAAAAAATCTAGCAACTTCTATGAAGTTGAAAGTCTTTTTAATGGGTTCTATATATTCTTGGGGGAAAAAAAGTTTCCTTTCAACCAAATTAACTCTATCGTAAGACATTAAAAAAAAACTTGGACACTCAAACTTTATACCTAAAGAAAAAATCTGTGATTTTCATGTTGATAATTTCGTTAAAAGGAAAAATTTCGACAACCAAATTTTGCACCGTGGCACGAAACCTCTGGTCATTTATGTCAGTATATTTGCAAAATGAGGAACAAAACTTACGATACAACAAGACTGTAACTACAAATGTTATCAAATAGGAAAAATATACTTTCAACCCATATATAATTAACAATCTAATCAAAGCTTTTTTTGATCTTTTTTATAAAATAATTGTTATTGGAAAAGCTTGTTTTCATATTGTTAAATCTAATAGAAGCTTGCTTTCATCTTCATAACAAACAAGTAACGGGATGAAATTAACAAAACAAAAAAAAACTGTGCAAAGGCATGAACCATGTTCTTGGTTTATAACTTTATTTATATTATGTCTTTTTAATTAAAAAACCGTTTCTGATTTTTTTTCTTCTAAAAACAAAATGGGACCGGTAACGACCTAGAAAGCCATGTGTCCAGAGTTTTGTCGAATTATTAGCTTTTGGACCGACCTTATCCATCTTTGGACCGTTGGCTTAGTAGTGCCTCAGCACTTTTGTTTACAAGTACTTTAAACAAATTTAAATACTACTCTTGCCATAAAAACAAAATTAAATACTTTGAATATACGTATATGTGTTAGGTAACGGTTAGTGGGTAAACTTCCGGGGACAAATTAAACAAATAAATAATTTTAAACTATTGATTTTAGAGGTATTGTTTGCATGCAAAAAAAAACATAGTCTATGGGTAGTTTTATACTTTTACATATTTAAATACAATAGTTTATTCTGAAAAAACTAACTAGTAGACACGAAAGGTGTATATTTTTTGGTGGACCGTCACGTGGTTTCGGCTCTACCAGCAAGGCTTATTTGGACCGCCGGTTAGATTCGTTTATAGTGGCCCACTGTGGTTTGTTCCGGTTCACCAAACTCCACATGTGGAGAGACTGAGTTTAAAAAATAAATTGATTTTTCGTCCAAATCTGTCTTCTTGACCATGAGTCATGTTAGAAAGATGGTCTTGTAATTTTCTGTCTCATATTATGAAAATAAACCGCAGATATTACTTTGTTAAGCAAAATGATTTCGAACAAAAAATCCTAAACCATTTCGATCACATGTTATCTGTTGAAGCCCTAATCTTTTTATGTACATGGTGTAAATGTTATGCTAAAGATTAAAGTTATATATATATATATATCTGACTGATTAAGTGATTATGTACATGTATATGTGGAGTCGTTGGTCGAATATTCGGAATGTTCACACTCATGCTTACACTATTCTTCACTTTAATTATGCAAATGATTGAGAGATAAAAATACAGTAATGTTATTGAATTATATATACTTTCTAAACATATTCGCGACAAATAAACAGTCTTGGATATTTCTGTTCCACATAAATTGCTAAGATTCGACACACTAAATCAATTAATTTTGGACGTTCTACATATAGTTTTCTTGTTCTTTTCGATTTTGAAACTCTTAACTTTGGAGTAGTTTTTAATTTTAATGAATCTTTTAGTTTTTACCCTTCTCCTTGTAGCTTAAAAAAGTAAAAGCTCTATTTTAGATATCAATCATTTACACTGATTTTCTAGAAGAAAATTACATACAGTGACTGAAGAGAGTCAGAAAATCTAATACAAAAAGTTATCTAAAAAAATTACCCTTTAGAGAAATTAAAGGAAACTCTTTTTTTTTTTTTTTTTGCATTTTTCTTGATAAAGAAATTAAAAAAAAGTCAATAGGAGCACTGAATCCTATGATCTCTGTCTCTAAGAATCCCATTGTACAGAGCAATCCGGTTTGCCGGCATGTCGTTTCTACAAACCGAACTGGTTTTATCATCCGGTTTAATCTTCGGTTCCGGTACAATTCTTCGGAGATGTTCCCTCTTACGATACTCTTCACCGTTCCCTTTCGGCTCCTTCACATTCTCTGCGAATTTCACCTTCTTCTTCATCTTCTTCCTCTGTTTCTTCTTTTCCTCTGCATCGATAAATAAGAAAATTTATAAACTTTTCTAGCCGGAGGATGATCGGAGAAGAAAAGATCGGCAGAAACGATACCTGAAGAAAGACACGAACGGAGGAAAGGTTGATCATCGACCTCTGATGTCTGATTTCCAGAGAATTGACGGGAAACCGCGAGAAACAGAGCAGTGCTTGAAAAAACCATGGCGGTTGCGATCACGACGCCATGAGAGCAGCTTAGTATACAAGTCATGTGTGAGCTTAATTGGGATCAGGGGAAAGATAGAGATTCAGAGAGAGAGAGAGAGAGAGAGAGAGAGAGATAAAGTTGTGAATTTGCAAATTTTATAACTTTTGTTTTCTGGAGAGAGGCAGAGAGAGGTTGTTGATCAATGAATGAGTTTGAAATGAAGCATGTGTGTGTTGCAGAGAGATTGGTCGTACCACAACGTCACGCAAAAAAAGTACTGTGTGAATTTGAACGGTGAGATCTCTTCTCTGAGATTTATTAAAAGACGAAAAAGTCTGGAGTTTTTGAGAATTGGATTCGAAAGAAATTAAGAAAAAAGTCTGACAATAATCAAAAGTTGGAGTTTTTTTGTGTGCTGTCTTCTCTTTATCGTCTGTTGGAAAAGTAGAGAGAGAGAGAGAGAGAAAGAGCGAAAGAGTGTGATAGATTGGTGTTTGGTTTAGTCACAGGATCAAAAATCAAGTGGAAATGGAAAAATCTTCTCTCATAATTAACTAGATGCACTGCATAGATTTATCTTTTAGGTATAGTTGCAAGATAAATGTATTGTCACTAAGATTTTTTTTTGTATTGGTTAAAGTAGGATAATTGTTAAAAGCTCTAATCTTTTTTTTTGGTACAATGAATAATTTTTTTTGGGTACAAAGCTCTAATTTTTTTTTTAAAGTTACTTATATTTTATTAGAACTTTACCACATGTTCGACCAAAAAAAAAAGACTTTACCACATTAAAAAATTATATTGTTTACTTTTATCAATTAATAATCTTTTTTCATTTTTTAATTACAGTATTCAATTTTATATCTGATCACTTTTTCTATTTTCTATTTTCTATGATTAAAAAGTTCTTAACTGAGATCTATACTTAAAACCAAAATATGTAATATGATTCTATCCCAAAAATGTCACTCATACCTATAATTTATATACTTCGTTTTTGATATATTTTTCAGTCAAATTAATATAAAACTTTTTTGTCACTTCTTTTTCACATTTATGTTACAGAATCATGTATTAGTTTCTTATCAGCCTACTCTCTTAACCGGTGAGTAAACTAGTCAAATGGAGTACACATGGGGTTTAGTTGAACAAATAATTTCTGTTTACACATGATCGGATGGTTTAGGTTCTTTGTAAGTAAATGGTTAGGCTAGTGAAAAAGCAAAGTGACTCTCAAATATATTGGAAATGGTTAACAATTGATGGCTGAATGAATTTAGATAAAAATCTAACTCTGAATGTGTTTTTTTTTTAAGCTGGAATTTTTATGTGGTTTAATTTGAACTTTTTGATAGGAAATCTTTTAGGGTTATTATAGATCAAAAACCCATAATGATACCTGTTTGAAGTTTTAGTATGCGGTTGTACTTATATGTATTTACATTGTAAATTGCGTCTAAAACAGAAATATTATATTTTTTCTTGAGAAAATAGTTATTATGTTTTCTGTAGTTACTAGACATATTACACGTCAAAAACAAGCAACTTAAAAATCAAAATGTGTTGAAGAGAAAAATACGAAGACAAAAACATTGATGGAGAGAGATTCTAAAGAGTTCAATGAATCTCTTCCACTCACTTTGAATCCCATCTCTATCATTTAACTTCAAGACAGAACCAAAGCAGTACCTGGCGTCTACGTGAGCATGGGCTGTTGCCACGTGTCCTATTTCAAAACCTATTTTTGCCGCGTTTAAGACGTTAAGTCGTTATGGTTTTTGCCTTCGGTATGTTCTGCCAAGTGTAAAAGTATATATTAGTGTAACTTAGACAAACAATATAATCCGTTGGAAGAAACAAATATTCCGAAAAAGTTTATATTAGATTAATTGAATTAACCTTTTTTTTTGAACAAGGGTTTACTTGAATTAGCATGTTTAGACAAAACCCAATTTTTATAAACACAAATGAATTTGATACGGAATGTTTAGAACATTTATTCGAAAATTGGGTTTTGTCTTACAGTATGCTAGAGATTCGTTCAAGAAATATTAGTACACACCCAATTCGAAAAAATGAAATATGTTAGCGAATAAAAATATTATTAAAGAAATCATCGTGTAACTTCATTTCTTTTGTAATGATTAATTGTGAAAATTGTATTATGACTTTATACATTCCTAATTTGAAATCAACGAACAAAATTGTGGTCCAGATATTGGAACATTATTCGACTTATCTAAGATCGTTGTAGTCGTAGTGGCAATTTTGAATTCGATAGACTAATTTCTTTTTGCTTTTTTCTTATATACTGGTTTATGTAGTCTAATTTCTACAATCATGTATAACAAAATAAATTAAACAAGAGATAAGATTTTAGCATCTATCATCATCGTACGGCAACTTGTTTTTTAGGACACTATGTACTTGAGAGAGAGAGAGAGAGAGATCATAAGAAGTTAAAAGTCTTAAAAGTTTTGAGAGAGTCCAAAGAAAAAAGAGATTTGTCACATGGTTGATTGACTTTGATGTCCTAAATAACATCAACCGCACACGTTTACTACAATGTTTCCTCTTAACACTTATCCACGATTAAATGATGTTGCTGGTACACAAATAATTGTGGACTTCCGTAATGTAAGCTATGATGAGATAGGATTTGATTTCTTTTGAGGTTTTGGTAAAAATCATAATCAAGTCCGATCTAATTAATATAAGTACCACTCGTGCCAGAAACGACCCGAATCCATTAAACATGATTTGATTTTCTATCTTTCCTTGCGTTTCGTGGTTAAACAAGAGACAATAGAGTACTGGGCCGCAAGGTACAAGATTTTTTTGGCAGTTTCTAGAAAATTGTAAACCAGCCTTTGTAGTCTATAACCGGTTGTGTCGGAACCAGACTGGTCCAACTATGTACCTTGCGGAACCAGACAAATGCAAACAAAAGAAAAACATCAGACAATGCAAAAAAAAAAAAAAAAAAAAAAATCCAAACAATTCTTAGCAGGTGAAAGAGCGATGAGAGATTGCCACCAGAATCTTCAACCCAAGGAACATAGAAACTGAGTTTACCGGTAGTTTTTTCTTCCCACTCATATTCAGCTTCCTTGTCGTTCAAGTAACAAATCTTCTTTCGCCTTTCAAGTCAACCCTAATGCTGTTATCACCAGTAAGATCCATCCCTTGAACTGTTCCAACACAGTTTGAACATGTTGATAAACCCTAGAGGTGCAAATCTAATCCCTGAACTTCCTAGTTCCGTGACTGGCACGAGTTGACTGAACAGATCAAACGAAGATGGCTCCTAGGGTTATCTCGATAGCGTCTGATAATCGAGTTCATGAAAAGGATTTCCTCGGATTTTTTCTTGTAGACCAAGTAATCTCCATCGTAGCTCACCTGAGAACCTGCAGCTTCTGGGATTTGATCCCATTCGATGTCCGAGACGTGAACTGTTCCTGAAACTGTCTTGTAACAATCTTGCTTTTAAAGAGTCCCGATCCTTAAACATAGTGAGAGTAATGTAACAGCTTACTTGAAAAACAGAAATCTTGGCTCCGGTAACTCCAACACTAGCAAGATAAGGGTGAACTGAATCGTAGAATTTATGAGCTTTGGAAGGGTGAACAAGACTAATACCGGCTTCAACAATCCTGTGGACTGCCAGATCAGTCATTGCAGCATCTAGACCAGGTGAAATCTCAATCTTGGATTTCAAATGTATTAAAGTTTCAGGCCTAACACCATTCCAAGCACCACGTAGAGCATGCCACACATATATACCATCTAAACCCTTAAAACAATAGCCTCAAATCCCTTGTGAAAGCTTCCACATCCTTAGAACCCAATTACTCTTACATTGCATTGAGTTCTTCGCTACAATTCTTGATCTTTTCATCAAGTTGGGGTAGATCTTGTTCCCCAAATTCACGAATCAACTCAACTTTTGTTGCTCTATAATCGCTGCTTGAATCCGCTCCGTGACTTTGTATATGCTCATCTCTGGTTTGTGAGGATCGAAGTGAGAAGCGTCAGATGCTAAAGAGGATCCACCTTTATAATTCCTAAACTTCTTACATTCCTTGAAGCTGTGAAGCCTCGCTGTCATTTTCTCTCCACCAAGAACAAGATTCTCTGCGTCTTTGCCTGGCTCATCACCATCGAAGCTTATACTTTGCCATCCATCATCAATGATGATAAACTTGGTACATACCCTTCCATATTCAAACTCCTCAACACCGGTCCAAATTGTTGCAGAGTCAATGATGATAAACTTCATGACATTTCTTATTTCCAAAAATGTCTTTTGATCTTCGAGGTTAAAACATTCATTGAAGATTATTGAACATTTATTTATTTCCAAAATGTCTTTTGATGTTCAATGAAACAATGACAATAATAATCAAGTTCTCATGCTCCTGCAATTTACAATTTAATCGAAGAAACGTCTTTGATTGATCAATTCAAATGCAAAATCAGTTTAAGGTAAAAAAAACATGATTAAAAAAATAAAGAAACATTTCTTGATCACTTAAAGTAGTATCTGACTCAGCCGGAAACATTGGAGGAGCAGCCATATGTATATTACTAATATATTCGTAATTAACAGATTAAGATTCTATGTGTATTTGAGTAAAAACTCTAAGTAAACGCAAACCTTAAAAAGCAAATTTTCAGTCTATCTTGGAAAGAAATGCTGAACGTTTTAGTCTTTTTTAACCTTTTTGTCATGAGTGGCATATAAGTAGTTGCATCAGGAGAGGAGAGTCCAAGACCAGAAGATGGAGTCAATGAGAACAACCTAAAACAAATAATGAAATAATTAGAAGTTCTTAATTTGAGCTTCGATCTCAGATATTGAACATCAACAAGAGCACTTTCTATTCTCATTGACTTTTCACTGCTTTGTAAACAGTGGTGAGTCCAAAAATTAATTTGACTGGGTTTAATAGTGTCAAAAAAATTCAGATTTACCAATACCACTAGATTTCTTTAAAACTAAGGTAATTTTCAAAATTATATGGGTTCAGTTGACACCCTATTCTATCAAATGGACTCGCCACTATTTGTAAACTGGAAGATATTAGAGAATATTCGAAAATACTTACAGATTTGTGTAATTATTGTGACTATCCCTTCTATGTTTCATTAGCCACTCCACCAGACTCTACACCAAACAAATTCACCAATCCCCATATATCCTCATCACCAATTAGTTCAAAATCTTTAACACCAACAGCAGGCCTGTTGTCATGGCTTGCATCATATAAAAGATTATCTAAAACTTGTTCTGAAAGGTGTTATCAGCCACTGCAAGTCTGTACTCCTTGATCTCTCACTTAGTCTTGATCCATTTTGAGTCACAAAATCTATGGACTCTTTTATACCAATATTCATCAAATCTCTCTCTCTCTTGATGACTTTTCTACCTGAGAATCTCCAAAAGTCACCATCTTTTGGAATAGTTGTAATAGGCTTGTTTGGCTTTCCTCTATTGAGCTCTTGTCTTTGAGCAAAGTACCACCATTCTGCTTTGGGAATAGTTGTAATAGCTTTGTTTGGCCTTTCTCTATTGAGCTCTTGTCTTTAAGCAAAGTATCACCATTGCAGAGGAGAATAGGGTTCATGTGCAAAAATATCAAACTCCACAACTGTACAGGTTGGATCAATAACGCTATTGATTCTTGGGTGGAGGAAGTCTTCGATGATCTCTTGATCACTAGCATAAAACCGAATGCCTACAAGAGCCTCTTGAGCATCATCATTCTCCACCTCAACAGCTTTTACATCATCAAACATATATTCCAAATCCACTATATCTCATCACTAAACACAATCTCGAAATCTTCAAGGACTATTGTCATGACTTGCATCATACAAAAGATAAACTAAAACTTGTTGCTGAAAAGCGTTATCAGCCACTCTATACTCCTTGATCTCCCAGCCAGTCTTTATTGCAGCCTGAATCACAAAATATATGGACTCCTTGATGCCAATAGACATCAAACCTCTTTTGATGACTTTTCTCCTTGAAAATCTCCAAAAGCCACTATTGTTCGGAATAGTTGCAATAGCTCTATTTGGCTTTCCTTTATTGAGATGTTGCCTTTGAGCAAAGTACCACAATTGCATAGGAGGCTAAGAGTTAGCTGGTGGGTGTGGGAGATTATAGGCTTCATGTGCAAAGATTGGACAAGTTGGGTCCAAATCGTCATTGATTCTTGGGTAGAGAAAGTTATAATCACTTTATCAATGGCGTAAAACCTAATGCCTCGGGGTCGGGAAGATATTCAGCCATCTGCACTTAATTCCAAAGCCAATTAAATATGACTAGTATTAAATATAGTAAATATTCTAGGCCAGATTTGAATCAATTAAATATGGTAAAGACCGACACTATTCTTTGGTGTCGACACCGATCATGGATGAATTTTCTTGCATTTTAGTAGATATTTGAAGACTGGAAATTTGGCTCAAAAGTTCTACTTATTTATAATTTTGCCTCATTCATGTTTTATAATTATAAATAGTGATTTTATGGTCATTAAGACTAAGCTTAATTTCTATTGAGATTTTGAGAGAGCTTAGATCATGAATTTTTGAGGAGACAAATTTATACTCTGTTTTAAGAGAATTTCGAATTCTCTTTGTATCATTCTCTTCTCTTTTATGCAGTTTAATTTATTCATGATGTTTTCTTTAATCACAATATTTAAATAATCTGCTAGTTAGATTTTAAATTTTTCAAAAGTTAATTATGAGTTGTTAGATTTCTAATCTGCCAATGGTTGGTCTAAGTCTCTCTTGGATTTCTTCATTCAGATTATCAATTCAAATACCAAATTAATAAATCATAATAAATTAAACAGAAGAATAAGACGATGAAATCGGAGTAGTGAATCGTACTATTAGGAACACCCGTGAGATTTGTGTTCCTAATTCTGGACCAAAATTTGTTTTATCTGTTTTCTATCTTTAAAAAAATTAAGAAATTAGGCAAAACAAAAAACAATTGTACGTTGGGCCACAATTAATTAGTTTACATTGTATATAAGGTAATGGGTCGGCCCAAATTCTTTATTGAAAAGCAAACCCGTGCATCGGCACGGTCCAAAATCTAGTTTTAGATTTAAACGAGATGGTTGGATCAAAAGGTAACTAACGTTCCATCATCAAACACTTAACATAGCAAACTTTTCTTTATAATAATAGATAAATTCATTAGGATCAAGAGCAATTAGCAACAAAAAGAAGTCAAAAAGGACGAACCATATTACAACATTCTCTCCCACATCTTTAGTTTCCGAATGAAAAATCTAAAAAACCATAGCAGCAACACATCACACAACCAATGTATAACTTATTAGTCACTAAAAGAGGATGAAGCAAGCGGTTTTATTGCAGCAAAAGAGAGAGAGAGGAGAGAATGTTATTATTACCTATAGATACTGCCACATAGCTTAATCAGGTTGTAAGAATTGGAGGCATGTAATCAGATTTAGTACCGAGGATACGAGCTTTCGTGTCGGGAAAGAACTCGCATCCGGGAATCTCAGTGATGTCTCCTTGGCTAGCAATACCGATCGGGTAGCGAAGTAGATGACCGGGAAGATCATGTTCGAGCGACTCGCTCGAGTAAAGATCCCAATACTTATCAGCAACACGGTTAACTTTCTTGATACATTCTTGGCTCGATGGATCGAGGAAAGTCTCATCGAGCATTCCTAAGTGTTCATACCACAACGACATTCGGAATCCATGGACTTGACCTCGTGCTGGTTGTCTTGTCGAGAGATGATATGGTTGATACCCTCCCATTGCTATCTCCGAGTCTCTTGCTCCATCCATTGATCTCTGGTTGATATTTGCTGATCCGATTATAATGTACTCATCGTCAACTGCAAAGAAATCAGAAGGTTGGAATGAGAATCATTTTAAGTAATAAAGATCATGAGAGTTTGTGTAAAACACTCTCACCTATCATCATCTTAGTATGAACATAGATCATGAAGCGGCGAGCTTCTTGTGCTCTGATATAGTCTGAGTCCGGTTCAGGTTTCTCCGTAGGCTCATACTCTCCATCTTTCTTGATCTCTCTGTTTCCGAGGCAGAAGAATGTCAGATAATCTCTCGGATCCTCTTCCTCGAGTCCCTTTTCCCTGAGTGCCTTGATCACATCTTTGTACATCATCTCCATTGTTCTTCTCTGCCAATCTAATATAGCTTGCACTGATCCACTCTCAGGGATCCCTTCAGGCCACATCGGAACAACGACATAAACCTTAAACTTCTCTCCGGCTTTGATCTTGCTAACAATCTTCAAAGACAGCTCCTTTGGGATCAAATGCAGAGCATTGATTTCCTCTGGTTTGATTCCATCAGCGCTCCAAGCGAAAGAGCTTCCAAGGAAGTACTGGTTCTCGATGTAGATGAAGTCTTTCGCTCGTCTAATCGCGTGAATGTACGCATCTTGAATACTCCTATCGATAATATTGTCTTTCCCGCTCACAAGACCTGCTTCAGCAGCAGCTTCAGGGGACTCAGGAAACGCAGCAGCCGCACCACCATCGATTGATCTAAACAACTGAACGTTCCACGAGTCGTGATCCTCTGAGAACAGAACAGGAGAAGGAGGGATGATAATATCGTCGAGGTCTCTCATTTTAACCAAGATATCTTTACCGCCTTGTCTGTTCCATCTCTGCTCAAAGTTATACAGAACATCCCAAGCGATAGGTCCTTCAAGACGACAGTGAATGTCGTGCCACGGCTCTCTAGGACCGCCTTTGGTTATCGCTGCGCCGGTGAAGTTCGGCTGGTGGAAGTCGTCGTGATGCGCAGTGTCCAACGTCCTGAACAAGGAGTGAAACGGCGTGTCGTATCTCCCATCGCAAAGATCAAGACCACCAACGAAACTCACGATCCTTCTTGATCTTGTCGCTGATGATCCAGGCATCTCGCTGTCTACAACAACAATCTTCTGGTGATGAGTGAACATGGTTGAGATCTGCAAGTTCTGAACTATGCTTCCACCATCATCAGGGTTACGAGGACACAGAACACAGTTCACGTCGGTTCCTCTGAAGAAATTCTCAGTTTCTTCATCATGAGTAGCCATAAGCCCGTCTTTCTTCAGCACATCAACAGATGTTCTGTCGTCCCAAACAAGCAAGATCACCTTAACACCTTCACTAGCTTTCCTCTTGAGTAGCTCACCGATTGTCACATCTCCTCCTTCCTTCGGCCTCCTCGAGTCTCTCACCAAAGAGATCTCAGTGTAAACAGACCAACCAGTAATGTAAATCAAGTGCTTAGCGTTAGTAATGGCGTCAAAGATATCCTCCCAGCATCGACTCGCCTCGTAGTTTTTCCCTCCAGCGAGAGGGATCTTGGGGACAAAGTTTCCAGGAATGTGAGCATCTTGATACAGAGAAACTCTGCATCCTCTTCTCTGAGAGAAGAACGTGTAAGGAACTCCTGGAAACTTAGGTGTTTTGATACCTCGGTTCCAGTTTCGATCTTTCTCAACGCCGAAATACTGAAGCTTCACATGGATCTTTGATCCTCCATCAATAGGTTTCTTCTCAGTATCTAGAATCTCAACCCATCTATCAACTTCTTCTCCATGGAAGATATCTTCGACAGGAACGTAAGCTCTTCCGATCAACGTTGCTCCAATGGGGTTATCGTCTTTGACAGTGAAGATAACATGTTTAGCCATGTGACCACAGTAGATGTGAAATGATTCATACCACTTTGGGTTTTTCGGTTCTTTTGTTATCTTCCTTGTTCTTCCAACTCTCGCTTTCTCTAGATCGATTGTAGCGTAGAGCTGAGTTTCTCCTTTCCCCACACCGATTGTTTCTTCCACGTTTGCTAGAATCTGAAAAGATTGAAAAAAACAGAACACTGAAGAGAAGAGATTGAAGGAAAAGTCTCTGTCTCTTACAAATGAGACAAAAGTGACAATACCTTTCCTAAGAAACCTGATCTGCCTCCTTCAGTACCATGGAGAGAATCAACTTCATAGATTGTAGCGTGTAGTCTTCCGTGTAACAAAAACTCTTCCATTATTCTTCCACCTGTGACATCATAACAAGTATAACAAATTATTAGTCTCATACTCATACATTAGATTAGCAAAGTACAAGTACGTGAGCATTTCACATTTAACGTACGTTTTTGTTAGAAATGAAACACTTCTTGGCTAAAACAAAATGCTCTTAACTAAATTCATATGTGAAATGTAAAGGAATCTACAAGCAATAATCCATATATTACACAAAGAGCTTTGAAGATCAGGGATCAAAAGATAGCAAATTGTCTCAAAACAGAGGAAATCCTGATCTAAGACATTGACCGTATTCAAAACCAGATCGGATCACAGAAACAGTTATAGAAGGTTAATCAAATTCCACATTATGGACGAAAGGCAAAGCAAAACAGTGTGATCACGGGTAATATAACGAAGGTTGGAACTTAAACCAAAGCTTTTAGCGAGTTTCCTAAATAGTTTAACTCCCACTCGTCCCAACGCAAGAAAACAAACAATCAGACGTTTGTGATCTGCAAAAGAACCGTTTAATGTTTTGAAAAAAAAATGAAAAAATCTGTAAGAGAAAAGGAAATTTCTTACCAGCGAAATTCTCAGAGATTAGGAGCGATGGGAGAATTCAGGATTTCGATCCGAGAAAGAAGCTCTTTGAATGAAAGCTACTTTGTGTGTGGAGCTGCTGAAGATTTTTGTGATATTAATAGAAGTCGAAGCAAATGCGAAACGAGTTACAAAAACAAAATAAATTAATCAGTATATTACAAAAAAAAAAAAAACGATTAGGCGTAACGAACTGTGACTATTCAGCTCCAAAAACCACGCGCTGCGAGTTTAATACATTGTCCTAATCATGGGGATTACCAATAAATGATGCTTTTCTAATTTTTGATCATTTTGAATCGGTTAATGTATATAGTTAAAAAAAAAATCAATAGTATATTTATTCAGTTTGACTCAGTTCGGTTAATTATTCTTCTGCAAGCTGGTTTTGATTGGAATCCGTTTGGTTTATACCGAACATAACTGCCTAATGTAATTAAGAAAAGAAAAAACAGAGAGAGAGACTAAAAAGTAAAAAAAAAAAAAACCCTTACTTTGGCCACAAGTTTGTCCGAATCTCTCTCACAGCTTCACATTCTCCCCCAATTAGCCGGAAATCCAAATCCAATCCTGAAACCTCAACCAAAAAGCCGAAAAGAGCAAACGCCGCGTTACACTCTTTTCCAGAAATGGGGAAGAGACCGCCGATTCCACCAGACATTGAAAACGCACAACCGCCGTTACCACCATTACCGCCACCATCGCGACCGCAGTTTCGCCCGCCCGTCCCTGTGCCATGGTACGCATGGCTCGTGCCTCTCATTTTGGCAGCCAACTTCATCACATTCGCCAGCACAATGTACGTCAACGATTGTCCCGCGAGATCAGACGAGTGTCTCTTGTTCGATGTCCTTGGAAGGCTTTCGTTTCAACCCATTAAGGAGAACATGCTTCTCGGTCCTTCTATTCCCACGTAAGGAACGGTTTCTTGAATCTTGATTCCGCAACAAGTTGAATACTTGAGAGATTTTTTTTTTGATGGATGAATCTTCAGGCTGAGGAAACTTGGAGCTCTCGAGAGGAGACTTGTGGAGGAAGGTGAGAAATGGCGTCTCATCTCTTGCATATGGCTTCACGGTGGCCTCCTTCACTTGTTGGCTAACATGATCAGCCTCCTCTGTATCGGAATGCGTCTTGAACAAGAATTCGGATTCTGTAAGACTCTTTAAAACCCCCATCGCCAAGATCCTGCATTTGCTTTTTTTTTTAATCTGATTTCAAGAGTTTTTGATGAAATTACAGTGAGAATCGGAGCTTTGTATGTGATCTCCGGGCTTGGTGGAAGTCTCATGTCTTGCTTAACGGATTCAAGAGGAGAACGTGTATCAGTGGGAGCATCAGGCGCCTTGTTTGGCTTACTCGGCGCAATGCTCTCGGAGCTCATCACAAACTGGACAATCTACGATAATAAGGTAAACAATAATCAACTTCAACTTCAGATTTTTTCATTATTCAAAGCTGATGTTTTCTTCTTCTTCTTCTTTTCTTGCAGTGTACCGCACTTATGACATTAATCTTGATCATTGCACTGAACCTAAGCGTCGGATTCTTACCACGTGTGGACAATTCAGCTCATTGTGGAGGATTCCTAGCAGGTTTCTTCCTCGGTTTTGTCGTTCTTCTCCGTCCGCAGTACGGATACGTGAGCCCGAAGTACATTCCTCCTGGTTACGACATGAAACACAAGAAACCAAAACACAAGTGTTATCAACACATCTTCAGGTTTACATCTCTAGCCATCCTTCTTGCAGGGTAAGTTCACCAAAAGACTTGGTTTCATAGCTCTGAGAGTTGTAAAAACTTATTTACCCCTTACAGTAAATGCTAAACATTTCCTTTGGAAACTTCTGCAGATTCATTGCCGGATATACTAAGCTTCTCAGAGAACATACCGTACACAGCGAGACATTCAGAGATTTCAATTAGCATCCTAGTAGCCAGTAAGAGACAATTTCATACGATCCCCAAAAAAAATTTCCATATATGATACAAATACTATCATCGGAAAGGTTATACATTTGATGAGTACATGACTCGGAAAAGTAGTACATATGTATCTGTTGTTCAAAGGATGTTGTAACTATACATCTGTATACAAAAGCATATATTATACTGTAGGAACCATTTTTTTGATCATATCTAGTTTAACTTTGTGGCAACAGTAGGATCACAAATCAGTAATGTATTCTCAGATCTCACATGAATCAGACCGACCAAACATCGCGTACCGGTTGTCTGCAACATTTTCATACAGAAAATCCCTCACAAACCTGCAAAAAAATGTCAGAAACAAACTGGTTATATATAACTTATAAGATCAACCACACGAGGCGCGTATCCTTACGCTAAACTTACAGAGGAGAAAACTGCAAAAAGAATGCAAGCTGTGGAAATGGTAAGTCAATGTATTTCATGATCTTCAAAACCGCATCTGATTTTATGTAAGACCTGAAGAAAAACACAATACAATCAAACGAGATATTGATCAAGTTATGTTCAGCTCACATTGAAACACAAATGTAATACCTATCCTTTTCTACAAGAACGACGCTTGAGATATCATCAGGAGCTCTTCCTGATCGCATTAACAGTTTCTTTCCCGATTCGCTTTGTAATGCTTCAAACCTTATGCTCCTGAAAACAAGTTCATAGTTTTTATTTTAATTTTTCCCTTAAATTTCAGTTTTTTTTTTTATTGATCTTCCAGTGATTAACAAAGAAACTATATAGTTCTAAAATCAACACTGACCTGTTTTGATCATGGTCTCGAACAAACTTCACGCCACCATTACAGAGATTGCAAACACCTAATAAAATTCAAATAATTATGAACTGTTGTATGTGAATGTGATCAACCTTATATTATATCCATTGAGATATAGCTTCAGTGAATTTTTGAAAAAAAACTATAGCATAAGTGAACTTTTGAAAAACAAAACGACAATGGCTACATGAAAAATCCAAACAACCTAAACGCCATTGATGGGTTTTTACTAAACGCAACCTATTTCAGCTGAAATATGAGATTAGCAAAACGTGATTACCGTCGAACAACATGATCGGCCTCTTGTCTTCTTCGAAAAAGCTTGAAGTTTCCTTGACCCAATCCACTGAATCGCGACGCAAAGTGCGTGGATTAGCAGAAGCAGAGACTCTCAGTCCACGCGACGGAACGGTTAACCGCCCGAAACTCGCCGGAATAAGGATTGCCATCTCAAAGCTTTTCGCCGCCAAACGCACACTTCTCCGGAGAGCCACTAAAATTTTAGCTTTGGTTTATTTGTAAGGTGGTACTTTCGTAAATAAAAGTCGATCTCAGTGGTGAAATATGCCACGTCATCGAAATGAAACCAACCACGTCATCAAAATGTAGCCACTCAACGATTTAAACCACGTCACTAAAATGTAGCCACTGTAAGATTTGAACCGGATCTCAATTTGTTAACCGGTTCTCCGATTTTGGGAAAACGCTCTTGCAGAAATCTTGCCTTAAAGCTTGACCCGGAGAGTCTTCTTCTCCATTGCTTCGCTTGAAACAACGTTCATCAACTCCGATCTGAATTACTTCGGCGAGATCGAAAAATCGAAAGGTCAAAGATGGGTTGGATCGGAGAAACCGTAGATTCTATCAAATCTATTCAGATCCGTCAGCTTCTTACTCAGGCCATCAGTCTTGGTTAGCTCTTCCCTTTCGTCTCATATGTTTTTTTTTTAACCCAATTCTGTCCGATTTGAATTTCTGTTACCGTAAACTGATTAATTGGTATCTAGGGTTCACTAATTTATCAACATTGCCGCTCCAGTTGCGCTTTTTTAATCTAAATAAAGTTGAAATCTTTCCAGAAAACTAGAGACCCCTTTGGTTATTGAAATTGTTGAACTCGATGGTGTTTCTTAAGATCGTTTTCCTCAAAAATTAGCTCTGATTCCGAATATGATGCTAGTGTTACATTGTGAGGACGAGTTTTGAAGTATACTGTTTTAAGGGGAAATGTTGGTAAAACGTTATTGTTAAAGTTTGCGACTTTCCTTTGTTCTGAGCAAACAAGATTATACACCTGATGATTTTACTTGTGGTTGGATTATTATATTTGTAGATTATGACAAAATTGTCTCAATAGTTCTCTGTGTTGTTGTCTCATAGGGATGATTGTGACATCTGCGTTGATCATATGGAAAGCTTTGATGTGTGTCACTGGGAGTGAATCTCCCGTGGTGGTTGTTCTATCTGGAAGCATGGAACCTGGTTTTAAGAGGGTAAGTGGACTTAGTTTTTTTTCGAGATCCTTTACATTATGCAGCAGCTTTTGCTCAAAACTTTAAATCATAAGTGTCTTGAACTTGATATCTTGTAGGGAGATATACTGTTCTTGCACATGAGTAAAGACCCGATTCGAGCAGGAGAAATTGTTGTTTTCAATGTTGATGTAAGCTTTCCCTTTTCCTTTGGTCTCATTCGTTCTCTCTCCCTTTGTTTCGTGTGTCCTAATTGGCTTCATGCGTATCCTCAGGGTCGAGATATTCCCATTGTTCATCGTGTCATTAAGGTAACGTTTATCTAGACTTTGCCACTATCATCTCTTGGTACTTAAGGTTGATGTAAACATACCTGATTCTTGCGGTTTTAACGCATTATAGGTTCACGAAAGGGAAAATACTGGAGAAGTCGATGTTTTGACAAAAGGTGATCTGAAAAAATCTCACATTTCGAGTGTAAATTGTTTTCATAGTGTAATTCTTCAGTACACACTTCACTTTTCGATTTTAATTGTTTCCAGGTGACAATAACTATGGAGATGACAGACTTCTCTATGCTCAAGGACAGCTTTGGCTTCATCGACATCATATAATGGGTCGTGCTGTTGGGTAATCAATTTACTTCAGTCACAAATCTGAAATCTCTCAATGCAATGTATAGTGTTTAAAACCGAAATAACTTTTTATTTGTCTCTTTCAGGTTCTTGCCTTATGTTGGATGGGTGACTATAATTATGACAGAAAAACCTATCATTAAGGTAACATTCTCACACTATGATCCGAAAATCTAATCCAAAACGAAATGTTTAGCCTTTTTTTGGTTTTGTGACCGTATGACATTTGCATCTTCTCCTTCTTCTTCTTGCAGTATATTCTGATAGGTGCATTGGGTTTGCTCGTTATAACGTCCAAAGATTGAGTCTTTTGGATAGGAGTGGACTCTGCAAATCCTTGGTTTATCATCCTTTTGGTCTTTGATATTTCAGTGGGAAAAAAGAAAAAAAAAACAAGTTAAAGACTGGTCATTTTGTGGTTTAGACCACTTTAAAGTTGAAACTGTAGAATCAGCAGCTAATTTTTAATCGTGGAGATTAGATTACCTTAAACTCGAGATTTGCTTTCTTATGAACGGCCTTGTCATCCTATCCCTTGATAAAAATAAAAGTCAATTCGAACCAAACCGAAATTGAACCGAACTTTCATAGTATAACTTGGATGTTTAAGAAATTAATCTGGAGTTTGTGCAATCAAACCTAATGAATTTATATTCGGTAACAATAAATATTTTAATTCACCACATCTAAAATGTGCTAAATATCAAGTCTTGGGTTAATCTGAAGGAAATTTATAATTAGGGGTAGATATTACCTAATTAGTACAATATGAGGGACCTATGTGAGAATTTATTACTTGGGATTTCACTCCTTTATGAATGAGAAACGACGTTGACAATTGAACCATTTCGTCGTATAATGTCTAAAACCCTTCTCTCTCGCATCAAACCCCTTACCAATAATCCTCCTCAATCTAATTCCCTCCGATCTCATTTTCCGATTACTCCCGGAATCAGGAAACAAGTTACCGACACCGTTAACCTTCTCAGAACCCAGCAAAACTGGTCTAAATTTCTCGACGATGGTGAAGTCCGCCTCGTCGATATTTCTCCTTTCGTGTTCGATCGAATCCAGGATGTGGAAATCGGGGTCAAGCTGTTTGATTGGCTATCGAATCAGAGAAAAGAGGAGCTTTTTGCAAATGGGTTTGCTTGTTCTTCGTTTCTGAAGCTCTTAGCGAGGCATAGGATCTTCGACGAGATTGAAGATGCATTGGGAAATCTCAGAAAAGAAAATGTGAAGGTTACACATGAAGCATTGAGCCACGTTCTTCACGCGTATGCTGAATCAGGGGTAGTGAATAAAGCCGTGGAGGTTTATAATTACGTAGTCGAGTCTTACGGTTCTGTGCCTGATGTTATCGCTTGCAACTCGTTGTTGAGTTTGTTTGTGAAAAGTAGGAGACTTGGAGATGCACGGAAGGTGTATGACGAAATGTGTGAGAGAGGTGGTTGTGTTGATAATTACAGTACTTGTATACTGCTCAAGGGGATGTGTAGTGAAGGGAAGGTTGAAGAAGGTAGAAAGCTGATTGAAGACCGATGGGGGAAAGGTTGTGTTCCGAACATTGTGTTTTACAACACAATCATTGGTGGATACTGTAAGCTCGGCGACATTGAAAATGCCGTTTTAGTTTTCAAGGAGCTGAAATCGAAGGGGTTTATGCCAACTTTGGAAACTTTTGGTACAATGATAAACGGATTCTGCAAGAATGGGGATTTCGTGGCGAGTGATCGACTTTTGAGGGAAGTGAAAGAAAGGGGTTTAATAGTCAGTGTTTGGTTCCTGAACAACATCATGGATGCTAAGTATAGGCACGGGTCTAAGGTTGAACCAGCTGAGAGTATACGATGGATAGTAGCTAATGGTTGCAAGCCTGATATAGCAACATATAACATATTGATCAATCGTTTGTGTAAAGAAGGGAAAAGGGAAGATGCTGTTGGGCTTATGGATGAAGCATCAAAGAAAGGGTTGATTCCGAACAATAAAAGCTATGCCCCTTTAATACAAGCCTATTGCAAAAGCAGAGAGTATGATGTTGCTTCGAAGTTGCTTCTACAGATGGCTGAGAGTGGATGCAAACCAGATATTGTTACATATGGAATTATAGTCAATGGTCTTGTTGTTTCAGGCCATATGGATGATGCAGTTAAGATGAAGGACAAAATGGTAGATAGAGGCGTTTCACCGGATGCCGGCATCTACAATATGTTGATGAGTGGATTGTGCAAGAGCGGTAGGTTTTTACCTGCCAAACTCCTCTTCTTGGAGATGATAGACCGGAATATTCCACCAGATGCTTATGTGTATGCCACGCTCATAGATGGGTTCATCAGAAGTGGTGATTTTGATGAGGCAAGGAAAGTTTCCTCTCTCTCAATTGAAAAGGGTGTGAAGGTTGATCTCGTGCACCACAACGCGTTGATAAAGGGGTTTTGCAGATCTGGAATGTTGACTGAGGCGTTGGCATGCATAGAGAGGATGACTAAAGAACATCTTGTACCCGATGAGTTCACTTATTCCACAGTCATTGACGGATATGTAAAGCAACAGGATATGGCTACTGCCTTAAAGATTTTTCGAGACATGGGCAAGAGTAAATGCAAGCCAAACGTGGTAACCTACTCATCCCTTATTAATGGCTTCTGCTGCCAAGGGGATTTCAAAATGGCCGAAGGGACTTTCAAAGAGATGCAATCATGTGGCCTTGTGCCTAACGTTGTCACCTACACAACACTCATAAGAAGTTTTGCTAAAGATGGTAGTACCCTTGGGAAATCAGTTTATTATTGGGAGCTAATGTTGAGAAACAAATGTGTCCCTAATGAGGTTACCTTTAATTGTCTACTTGAGGGATTTGTGAAGAAAACATCTGGAGAAGTTCTTGCTGAACCAAATGGGCTTAATGAGGGACAGAGCTCTCTGTTTTTTGAGTTTTTCTACAAAATGAAATCAGATGGGTGGTCGGACCATGCTGCTGCTTACAATTCTGTCTTCGTTTCTCTCTGTGTACATGGAATGGTGGAGACTGCTTGCAGGTTTCAAGACAGGATGGTGAAGAGAGGGTTCTCTCCTGATCCTGTTTCATTTGCTGCTATTTTACATGGTTTTTGTGTGGTTGGGAACTCAAAGCAGTGGAGCAGCATGAACTTTTGTCATCTGGATGAAAAGGGGCTTGAAGTAGCTGTTAGGTATTCGCGTGTTTTAAAGCGACACTTGCCTCAAGCTGTGATCTCTGAGGCTTCAGCTATTTTGCATGCAATGGTTGAGAATGCAGACACCAAAGAACCTGATAACTGTAGAATTTCAGTAAGATAGAGAGATATTGCTTGCTGCTGAATGAAGACAAGAAACTGATCTCAGAATGTGTGTATTACTTTCTTGTATTTGTAGACAGGAGCGTCTCATAATACATGAACAAATTTTTGCCGTTACAAATGTCGTGTCAACTCAAGAATGATGTAAGAAAAGAATCAGCATTACAGCTCAAATTCACAGAAGCAGTCGGGCAAAGCAAAACCTCTGCCAATTGCAAAATCGTTTTTATGAACTTCCCAAAGAGCTTTCTTCAACTCCGCGCCTTCAAGCCCTTGGGAAGTGAGTTCTGCAAATGCTTTTCTGCTCAGGAACAGAGTATTGTGCATCTGTTTATATGTTCGCATAGCTGCAACTATTTTATCCATGTTTCCAAAGTAAGTAGCCACGTACGCGTCACTGTTGATGGACACATGATAATCCAACGCGGCTTTAGTGTTTCCATGCATTCTCGTGAAATCCTCTTGGTTAAGTAAAGCAGATTTTGTGAACACATTTGTATAAACGGATGTGAATCCTTCCATCTCCATTAGACCGTCTCCAGCTGCTAAGTATATGTTTGTGCTTGTTGGAATGTTAAGTGACTGAAGCATCAAAACTGTTTCATTAGGAGTCAGAGGGCATTTCCCTCGCTTCCTCCAAACCTCAGCTAGCTCTCCTGTCCATGGCTTCCTGTCAACGCGAGCAGCTTCAATGGCAGCGATAGATGAAGGAGAGAGGTTCGGGTATTCACATTGGCTGTACGCGACCATGTCTGGTTCAAATCTGAGGTGAAGCGACAAGAAGGGTTTGGGAATAGCATCTAAAAGCTCGATGGCCTTCTTCTCCAGGGAACTTGTGAGGCGCAAAGATGAATAACAGGCTTGACACAGAGTGGCTCTTGCAAACTGGGGATACCTAAAAGTGCATTGTATGAAAGTAGAAGTGTAAGAAACTTGATAGTTTAGCAAATTACAAAAGACAATATACAGACTCTTGGAAAGGCACCTGTCCCTGCGTTGGCTCATCGCAGGTGTAAAAGAAATGTAATGATGTTCCAACAATGATGGAAGAACGCTCTCAATGTAATCAAATTGACCTTTCCTTTTGCTACAGTCTACTCTGAACGGTTCTTTTGATGCAATATCTTTCGGCAGCTCTTTTACAACATCGATGAAACCACTCATCTTTTGAATAAAGTAGTCTACATTAAACACATCTGCAAATCCACTGCACCAAGAGCATCATCACTGACGTTAATCCTCTTACTTGGATCAATCAAATCAACAAAAACACTATTGAATTTGGTATATATAAGCGAGTGTACCTTGACTCGTTCCAATACGCAGCTACCTCAAACTTTGGCAGAACAAGTGTGGCATTCAACAAACGGGCAATCCCAACTCCATCACACAACTGCAAGAATCATCATAATCATTTATTTTCCTAAGGCATAAACATTCACGAGATGTCAGATTCTCAAAAGCTTACATCGCGTCTCATCTGATTCAGGCCGCCATAGCAATCAACACGGATGTATCCATTAGTTTTAGCTGGTAGAGCTGCAGGATTTGAACAAAAAACCAAAGCAGTTGTCTGCAATGAAGACCGATCACAAACCTCAGAGAAGTAAAACTCACTACAAGCATTCTACATTCTACCCAAATATAGAAAGTTCTTGTCTTTTCAAAACCAAAAACCAAGCTTTTTTTTTTTTACTTTTTGTTACTAAAATCACTGATTGAGCTGAAAAAATAGGCTAATCAATATCAACAAAAACGTCTAGAGCTAACTAACGATTCACATCTAATTTGTTTCATCAACAAAACTAGAGTGAACTCTTTAGCTCAAAAACTTTGAGAGAATGATAAGAGAAGAGTGCATACGAGTGAGATGCCCTTCTAGCCACCATTTGCAAGGCCTCCACTCCATTATCCTCTTGACACTCCATATTTCAGAACCCCTGAAGCAGACAACACAAGTCAATTATTATTATTTCAAGAAAATTCTGTAGCGAAGAAGAAAACATCTGAATACTGATAATTACCCTAAGATGCGATTCTTCGTTTACCAAATATAGGAAGCAATAACTGAAAGTTACAGAGACGAAACACTTACAGTGGTGAGCCGGAAGGAACCGGAATCTGCAAGAAATGTTGCGACGGAGATAGAAGAATCACGGCGAGGAGAAGAGAGAAAGTCAAGACGAAGACGAATAGTGGTTTCACCGAAGAGGCAATCATTTGATGGGTTTTTTTTGGCTATTCCAACTTCAGATCGGAGTTTGCAAGTGTATAATCAGATCTATTAAGAAAGCTTCACACTTTCGTCGTCGGTGACAAAGCTCTGTTTCATCAGAGAACCACTTCTCCGGGTAAAAAGGTGAAAGAAAGAAAAACCAAACAAATCGAACCTTCTTTCCCATTTAAAGGGTTACTCACAGTGGAGAACGTTCCTTGCAATTACATAGGACTGTTTTTTTTATATCTTCCAATTTCACATATTTTTCATTGTTCTTCGATGATTATACATTGCACATCCAAGAGATGGTGAATCCAATTTTTTTTGGCCTTCATTGAGAAATCCAAGCTACTCTCTGTGATTATCCAAATCTTGAAGTCATAACAACTCTAAAATCTTTTTTATTCATATGTTTATTATGCTTCAACTGGAATATTTTTTTAGGAAACAGATTTAGTGGAACAATTCCACACATTCCATTTCTTAAAATGACAAAGTAAAACAAATTCTTTTTAAAACTTATCTTTTTTGTTCCACTTCTAAAATGTTGAGTATTATTTATCATTCCTTTTTTCAATTCTTTTTGTAAGTATTCCATTTATCCCATAATATTCCTTTAAAAAACAACAAGTTACAGCCTATATGTTTCTTCTCATATGTCAACTCTTTCAAGCTCATAATCATCGTCTTCGCTTTCTTCACTCCTACGTCCCACTCTCCTTCTCTTCCCTCTCATCTCGACCGCCATATCTCTTACCGAACAAGAACTGCTCCTCTCCATCTTCCCGGCCAAAACATCCACAACATCCATCTGCCCCAAACCGACAAACCGGTTCCTCAACATCTCAGCCGTCGTCGAATACGGAGGAATCCCATCATCAATCATCATCTCAAAGTACCTACAAGCTTCCTCTAGCTTCCCTTTCTTCCTCACCAACCCATGAATCACCACAGTGTAAGTAGAAACCGTCGGATAAAACTGTCTCTTGCTCATTCCTTCCCACGTCTCTGTCAAGCGGTCGAACCTCCCAATCCTTATCAGCAGCTTGAGAACCATGTTGTAAGTGTGTCTATCCGGTAAACACTTGGCTCTACCCATTCTCGAGAACAGATTCGTCGCTCGATTCACCTCGCAGTGGTCGCAGTGGTAAGCCATTATCGAGTTGTAAGTCCAAGTATCCGGATCAGCTCCTCTCTGGATCATCTCGTCCAACAGCGAATAAGCATCGTCAACTTTCTTGTTCTTGCAGAGCGTTTCGATGATGCGGTTGTATGTGTACACGTTGGGCACAAGCTCGTACCTTTGCATCCGATCAAGAACCTTATAAGCCGAGTGAACATCGTCCGCCTTGCAGTACGCCTGGATGAATATCCCGTAGCTATACGCGTCCGGCTCAAGTCCGAGGCTACCCATTTCTTGAAACATCTTGTAAGCTCCATCTACATCGCCTGATTTGCAAAGAGCGTCTAAAAGAGCATTGTAAGCAAGCAAATCCACAAGGCAACTCGACTTGAGCATTTCGTCGAACACCCTGCGTGCACCCGAGGCATCTCGGGTTTTCGCACAGCCTTTAACCAAAATGCTATACGTCTTTGCGCTCGGCGTGATTCCGGATTTGGCCTTGTCGAAAAACTCCTGGGCGTGATTCACATGTTTTCTATCGCAAAGCGAATGCAGAAGCTGATCGAGATCATCAACACAAGGCTTGATCCCAAACTCAATCATTCGATTAAAAGCTCGAATTGCTTCACCTGGTAGATGAGCTCTGCTATAAGCTCTGAACACGATCCAGAATACTTTAGGGCTTATCTCAAAGTAGTTATACTCTCTGGCTTCGATTAAAAAATCCCAGAGCAAAGCGAATTGCTTGCTACTACCCAGAATCTCCACCAAGATGTGGTAACTATCCAAGCTATGTTCGAAATCTGGGATTTTTCTTGCCCAGAGAAAGAATCTGTGCGCGGGGAATCCGAGATTTTTGCAGCGCTTCAACACTTGTTCGACCAGATTCGACGAAACTCGCGGAGAGTAGACGCCGAGAGTGTGTTCGAGGTCGTCTTTAGGGTTCCGGTGATCGCTCAGAACGCGGGAGATCTCGTTCACTAGATCTGGCGATGGTGGATCGTGTGGAAGGGTGGAGAAGAGACGAAATGCCTGAGCTTTAGGGGTTTGATGAAGAGCGCGAACAAGAGAAGATAAAGTTCGAATCGCCATTATAATGTGTTTTCACTTTAGACAAATGCAAATACAATGAAACCAATCTGAATATTTTTAAACGTCGAACCGATTAATTTATTCACAAAGCCTATCGGGTTTATATTTTGTAAGCCAGCCCAATAATTTAAGAGGCCCAACAGATCAACATTTTTAAAACTCAGCATATAGTTCTACTTTTTGTCCTCCTAAACAAACTATTTTTTAATTTTTTTAATGACATAACAAAGATTTCGAGGTAATTATTAATTAACTTGACATGATAACCACAAAGGTCAAAGTAGTGCAGGGTTTCATCAGAACATGTATTGATCACTTCCATAAACGTCAAAGAAGACAAAAATATATAACACTCACACGTCCAACAAATCTTATATAAAACTAGCTTTTTATTAGTTATTTAACCTTAAATTATCCAACAACCGTCATTAGACATTAGCAAAAATCACTACGTGCAAGTCCGTCCATACTAAGACAAATAACAACACATTCATATAAATACACACACACAAACACATTTTCAAGAATCTATCTACTTTTGGTGTAGAATTTTAAAAGATGGGGAAAGATTTCAAGAGTTTGGTTAGATGCATCTACGTTGGAAAGATTAACGATAGTGCGAAGAAGCTGAAAATCGCAACCGAAGAACTCAAAGAGCTCGGGAACAACGTGGTGAAGAGGGTCAAGATTTGCGAAGAGCAGCAACAGATGAAGCGGCTAGACAAAGTCCAAGCATGGCTAAGACAAGCCGACACTGTCATCAAAGAAGCAGAAGAGTATTTCTTGATGTCTTCATCGTCTTCTTCTTCGAGCCAAGGTTTGATATCTTCGAGCCACAAGATGGAAAAGAAGATTTGCAAGAAGCTGAAAGAGGTTCAAGAGATTAAGAGCAGAGGAATGTTTGAGGTTGTTGCTGAAACCGTCGGAGGCATTGGAGGAGGAGGAGGAGGAGGAGGAGGAGGAGGAGGAAGCGGAGTCGCGGTTAAAGTTAATGATGAGGAGACGATAGGGTTAGAGGCGGTTTCGGGTTTGGTTTGGAGGTGTTTGACGATGGAGAACACTGGGGTTATTGGATTGTACGGCGTGGAAGGTGTTGGGAAGACGACGGTTTTGACTCAGGTTAACAACAGGTTGCTTCAACAGAAAGCGAACGGGTTTGATTTTGTTTTGTGGGTGTTTGTGTCCAAGAACCTGAATCTTGAGAAGATTCAAGACACGATCAGGGAGAAGATTGGGTTTTTGGATAGGACGTGGACGAGTAAGACCGAGGAAGAAAAAGCTGCGAAGATCTTTGAGATCTTAAGTAAGAGACGTTTCGCATTGTTTCTTGATGATGTTTGGGAGAAGGTTGATCTAGGTAAGGGCTTTTAAATCAATTACTTACGGTACAAGAAACTGAGTGTTTAAATATATTATTACCCTGTAACACAAGCTATCTGCTTTTTATTACGGTATACAGTGAAAGCTGGAGTTCCGCCGCCAGATGCGCAGAACCGGTCGAAGGTTGTGTTCACGACATGTAGCGAAGACGTTTGTAAGGAGATGAGTGCACAGACGAAGATCAAAGTGGAGAAGTTGGCGTGGGAGAGAGCTTGGGAATTGTTCAAGAAGAATGTTGGAGAAGATACAGTGAAGAGCCACCCGGACATAGCCAAGGTTGCTCAGGAGGTTGCAGCCAAGTGCGACGGTCTTCCTCTGGCCCTGGTCACCATTGGCCGAGCCATGGCCTCCAAGAAAACGCCACAGGAGTGGCGTGACGCTTTATACATCTTGAGTAACTCTCCTCCGAATTTCTCAGGTTCAAACTTCTTAAACTGATCACTTTTTTTTACTATATTCAGAATTGGTTTTGAGTTTTAGCTAATTATCATTTTTAATTATTGTTTTGCAACAGTTCTCAAGCTACTCGACAGGAACTAGGTGAAGAAACTGTGGCTGATATTCTTCTAATTTGAGAATCAATGTATTTGTTTTAAGTTACTGGCTAGGTTTCTTTTGGAGAAATTGTTTGATTTTTAAAAAAAATATTATCGTACACTTGTTTTGTAATTTTTATCATTGATTATTTTATATGAATGAATGTTCTATTACCATCCGGAAAAAAAAATGTTCCAATTTGTAGTGAAACAGAGAAATGGTACGGTCAAAATATTGTGTTAGTGAGAGCTTATCTGTCTATGTGGAGAAAAAAAAAGCACAAACATGACTAAACCAAAATCAGTTCTTACTGAAGCTTCTTGATGCCAGGAAACGAAGGAAGAACAGTGATGAGAGCATCGTCGTATCCTACAGGCTCTGCCGAATCGAAATACCAAAAACAAAACAAAAAAAACGAAAATCAGAAGAGAAAACTCATGTCGGTATATGATGAAACGTACCAGCAACACAAAGAAATAAAGCCTCACCACCATCTTCACGAAGTATTTTGACAATCTCACCGGAAACATCAGACTGAGAAAAGCAAGAACAAAGTAAGAAGAACCCATACAGAGAGAGAAGAAAAATGAATGAGAGATATCATTATAATTTACCTCAACTGGGATTTGGCCACCGAGTTGTTCGATGTAGCATAGAACTTGACCTTCTTTCACTATATCTTTCTGTTGAGAGTAACCAAAAAACCAAATTTATAAATCGTAATCAAACCCAAAACATGTTGTAAAACATAAACAGAAGATGTTGTACCTCTTTACAAATTGTAGGAAGTCGTTTCCCCTTCACGGTCTTGGATCTCCTGAAATAACCGACCTGCAACAATCAAGATCCACTCAAACTTAGCCGTACTACTCAAGCCAGTTTCAAGTACTTGTTCAAAGACAATTCATCTGGTCTCTCTAACCGTTGGAGATCGGAGAATCACTAAACCCTCATTAGCAGCTTTGTTAGCAAGTGTTTGCGGTCTGTCTGCTGAATAAGATGATGTCTTTGAGACAGACAATGACGAAGACGTCGCTGAGCCATTTGTTGTAATCGTTTCAGGAGTTGCACTTGCAGCCACCACAGACGGGGTTTGCTGAGGTGGTGGACTACTTTGCTCAGCTAACTTCCTCGCTACATATAGGCGGAAACCTCCAAGCTAATAGAAATATGAAAGTGGTTATTAGACAAGACCTAAAAAGTAATGTATTAGCAGAGACGAGAGACAACTTTTGAGTCAAGAGAATCAGAAGTGAGGGGATTACTTTCAATTCAAACTCTGCGATCGATGGAGAATCAGTGATCTCATTGATAAGTGCTTCCACCTAAAATGATGGAATAATGATTTAAAAAATCTCACAAAACTGATGTTCAAGCTGAGTCATCAAGGTAACACTCACCTCAGAGGACTTGGGAATGAGCTGAGTATTATTCACAACAGATGGTTTGGTCTCTTCTGAATCTTCTACATCTGCAATAGCTGTGGTGAACAGTGTTAAAGAAGGAGGACATGTCATTACATAAGACACAACACTTAAGAAGATGAGACAACAAAAGAGAGATTAGTAATTACAACCTGCTGCTTCTGCAGACAGTTGTATAGCTTTCACAGATGTCAGAGTTGTCCTCAGACTCGGATACTTCATGCGGCTTTGGCTGATACATAGTATTTGCTTGTTTTGTATCAGCAAGTTGTCACATTTTATTAATCTACCCAAATCTGATGCACCAATCTTTATTTTAGGAGCTCCTAAGCTGCCTGAAACAAACGCATAAGCTCTTTTTAGAGAACATTGAGCCTTAAAAGTAATATCTTTGCAATTTTCAATTTCATCATAAGAGCTCCTAAGCTACTCGAATAGCATTATCATCTTGAGACGAAGAATCCAAAAGCTCAAGAGTTAAGAAGACACAAAAAGTCCAGAGATTTACTCAATTAAATGCTAAATCAAGATAAGAATCAGGCTTCTCACTAATCACATTGACAAAAAAAAAAAAAACAACTAATCGTTCAACCCCAAGTTCCATCAATGCTGAATTGCTTGATGATTCATTTCAGAATCGAATTTACAGTGAATCAAAACAGAAATCGTAACTTACAGGAAGACATGGAGGGAGAGGAGAAGGATTTGATCGAGGAAGAGATAAATAATAATAAATGCAGATACGATGAAGAAGGGAATAGCTCAAGGGAAGACGATGAAATCAAAATTTGATTGTGGTTCGCTTGTTCGATATAATCAGAGTGGGTTTTTTTCTCTCTTTTTTTTTTTGTACAGGTAAGGAAGAAGAAAGAGGAAACTGGATTTGGTTTGGGTTTTTGGGCCCATTACTTGGTCCATAAAGCCCACTATTGAAAATAAAATATTTGAGCCCGTTACTTCTTTCAAAATCGTTGCAACTCGCATTTCTTATCTCACACTTTTTTCTACTAGGAGATTAGGACTTCCATTATTAGATAAACCTCATTTCTGAAACTGATTTTGTTTTTTTTTTCGGATAGTGTTAAACTTTAAACACAGTCACTAATTCATATCACAATTGTCAAAGCTTGAACGTTGAAAGAAATTTATCAAAATCATTATTCTTTAATTAGATGCAAAACAGCAAAAAAGCGATAAGGACAAAAGAAAAACAGCAAACGCGAAATTACGGATTCGTATTAGTCAAAACAAAGATGTTTTAAATATAGAACGAATAGCCATGTAATACACTTGTATAAAAAGACATTACTCCTCTTCATTTTCTACAGATTAGTTCTAAATTTAAAAGAAGTATAGAAGAAAGTCATTCCAAACAGCTAAAACAATGAATCACCTCTCGTCTTTTCTGCTCGTTTTTGGATTATGCGTAGGATTGAGTAACGCACATGAGAAGAACTCAGTGTTCTTTACAAATTCTCTAGGGCGTAACAACATCTTGAAGATTAATTGCTTATCAAACGACGACAACCTAGGCTTCCACTTTTTGCGACCCGGAGAAACATATGATTTCAGTTTTCACGATAGTGTTATTAAAACAGAATTCTTCTGTGACCTATGGCAAGGGCCTAATTTCAAGTTCCATGCAGGGTTTACGGGATATAGAGGTGGTGGTCTCCTAGTTCATTATGGTAAAAAGAACTTTTGGGATGCTAGAGAAGATGGGATTTACTTCACACATGGTAAAAATGTGCCTAAGTTAGAATATAAATGGACTTAATAAACTGATCTATTTGGTTTTAAGTTTAACAACAACAAAAAAATGTTTCTTCTGTATTGTTCAAAGAAAACCTTTTATATGTATGTATTTTATTATATAAATGCAAAACTTGGTATGTATGTGATTTCTTCAAAAACAGCCAGATAAATATGTTGAATCTTGGACCGCAAGAACAAGCTTGCCCTAATTTTATTCAAGGCCGACTTTACAAACTACACAAAAAGATAGTACTATTAGAAGTGTTAAAATAGGTTAAAATGGAGGGATCGATTCAACCTGATCTCACCTTTAAATCGTAATGAGTTTTGAGTATCCAACTTTTGTAGTAAAGCCCATGAACCAAAATGCTAAAGCTTTTAAGAGCAAGCCTGATGGAGACGCCACTAGTGTGTGTCTTATTGATTAATTATTAATATTTTATGTATTTTATGTATATGAGATACTTTGTAGTATTTTGTTGTTTTTAAGCATACAATGGAGACACTTTTGATGGGTGTCTTAAAAACAAAATAAAAATATAATTTAAAAAAATATGTTAAATAAATTAATATAGTAAAAACTTATGTTAATAACTTTTAAAATATAATACATTTTTAAAAATATAATACATGAAGATATATCTTATTATATAAAGTTGGATGCGTCAAAGTTAGTAATTCACAAGATCGCGACACATGACGATTTGAATCGATCAGATTTTTACACGTGTTATTTAAAATAGTATTCAAAAATTAAAAAGATATATTTAATTAAGAAGAACCAAAACAAGTGTATCTCAAATAAAAATAACATATTTCTCAATTAAAAATAAGATAAACTTCTAATTCTAAAAGAAAAACAAAAACAGATTAAAAATAAGACAAACTTCTAATTCTAAAAGAAAAACAAAAACAGATTGAAAATAGGATAAACTTCTAATTCTATAAAAAAACAAAAACAGATATATATTATTACGGTGTGTTACATATTTACATTGTATTTTTACATAATTTAAATTTAGAATTAGGGACCCTTGCATAACTAAATTAAATTTATTAATCATATATTAGTCTATTGGTGTTTAAAATCAATTAATTGCTGGTGTTCAATAAAAATAACTACTAATTTAAATAAAAAAAGAATTACATAATTTTATAAAATAAAATAAAAAATTATAATCTTAACTTAACTTAATAATTTAAATTAAAAACATGTGCAACGCAAGTGTCTATATCTAGCAAATTATAGAAGTTCAATTCAGAAATTGGAATTAAAAGATCTTATTTTAGGTGTCAGAAACTTTGTCCATTCATATCTTGACACGTGTCCGTTCTTAACTAAAAAAAAAATTTATTTTAGACTCTGGTCTTAAAGTTTAGACTCTCTTCACAATTTATTTATTCAATTATATTATTAATATCCTTTTATTAGACCCTTAGAGATGACCATTGAGGTTGGTCTAAGTATTTGTAAGATTTTGTATACTAGAGATTTGATCCGTGCTATATGTGGACTGATTTGTTAATTTAATTTCAAACTATATAATTTTGTATATTTATCTTATTATTATGTATACTCTATATTATAGTATGTTGTATTTGTCTTTGTTTTTAAAATGTTATTTCTGTCTTTATTGTCATATATATTTTATATATGAAATCTTTTTTAATATAAATTATGATGTGTAATTATTAAATTATTTTGTATAGATTGATACGATACAATAAGTATTATCTGTGTTCTAATTGTTTATCTCTATACAATTGGCTTCTCCTTTTTTTTCTACAGCTTATCTTTATAAATTAATAAAATAAAAAATCTATCGATCCAGTCCATTCTAAACTAAATGATTCTTTAATTTTTTCATCGATTCTCAGAAATCTAACTCATTTTCTAACACAAATAGTCTTCTATTTATTTTTTTCCCCTTTCTATTGCTCATAGTCCTATTATTATATATGATTACAATCTATCAATTTTTCTCTTAGTTCATGTAAGATTTTTATCTTATTCATTTCTGTGATTGTTTGTAACTCTAAATGAGAAAAATTATAGTTAGAGTGGGCAAGACAGAGCAAGAAATATGTTTATATGTTACATATATGTTTGATGAGTTTTATTTAAAAAAATTATGCTTACTTAATGAATTGTTTATTTTTAATTGATTTGAGATATTTTTTTTTCGAGAAGCAATTCCAGTGTGTTCATATCTAATGATGATAAACTATCTAAGTATGTTTACAAGTATGGGTAAAGATAGTTTTGTTTATTTTTATGTCATGTGGAGATGAACAAACCTGACTATGTTAAATAATATATAATCAATAATCTTATTTTATCTTGTCTATATATTTCATATTAAATTTTATAAATGATCTAGTTGATTAGTAAAATAATTGAATATTAGCTTTATATTGTCATTATTGGAGAAAATGGTTGATAAGTATATGTTTTTACATTGATTGTATAATATTTAATATATATAACAATTGATTTTTATACTTATTTGAAGAATCATACATAAATGATCTAGGATGTAATGTTGAAAGGGGGTTACTTTTAAAAAAAAAACAAATAAAAGAAAAGTAAATCTCATTTTGGAATAATATTGGGTTCTCTAAACAAATAGCAACTAGAATTTGTTTTGACTTTTTCAATTCTAATCATATATAATGAAGCCTAAATAATTTGCAAATACAAAATGTATAATAGCCCATAAAAAACAAATTACTGATTTACTGATGTGAATAGCTTAGATAGAAAAGAATTTTGTGAATTTCCAAAATGATCTATTAGATCCATTTGATATGCAAATTTGCATAATAATTGTCATTTTTGTTTTATAGATATAATCAATGATCTATAAGATCCATTTGATATATATGCAACTATTAATAGATCATTATTTTATATTATCACTTTGTCTTGATCCATTTGATCTTCAAGCTGAGTCTCTCCTCTCTTGAGTTCTTCGAATCTTGTCGTAGAGATATATGCCAAGTTGCCAACTGAACTTCTTTTGCAGTAATTCATTTTAATTATCTCATTCTTTTCACTTTTCAGCTTTCTACCCCCACGTGGAACTTAATATAACAATATGAAAGCAACGATTCTTTGTGACAATAATTCGAGTTTATAAGTTATAACCACTCTAGTTATCTATCCTTGAAACCAAAAATTAGTCTCAATTATATTTCATTAATACAATATTGTCTTTAAGAACGTGAAACACCATTTTTGTAAAGTATTTATTTATCAAAATATAAAACGACGTTTTCATGATAACCTTAAAAACGGTGAACTAACAAATGACAATATAGGATTTATATAAGATTAAAAAAGCTTAGGCTAATCAAGCCGGACTAATTATGCAATAATCATTTAATTTAATTTTATAAATTAAATAAGAAATCGATAATATTATTAGACGACTAAAAATCACAAGACAAAACCCTAAAGGGTTATGAGACACGTAAAAATGTCTCAACATACAGTAAACAAAGTACCCAAAATTCAGAAACTTGAACAAACAAAGCAAAATACTTTATATTGGAAAAGAATAGGCCAACATTTATTAATGCTAGTTCCTTTCAAATATTTCTGGAGCTAGGGTTGCTCGGGCGGGTCGTGCCGGCCGGGCTGCTAGGGTTGTTGGCGGTTGGACTCATTCCCAGAGTGTTCTTCACCGCGTCGGCTGCTCCTTGTGCCATATTTTTCACCTGTCCACCTGTCTACACTCCAAAATCAATAATAAAATTGTTAATGGATATGAATGTCTACAAAAGTAATAATGAAGAAAAACAAAAATAAGAAGAAAAGTAATCAAACCTGTTGGATGACATTAGAGGCCTGGGAAATCAGGGAAGGATTGTTCTGATCGCTCTCTGAGTGGGACTGTGAGTGAGTATGATGATCAGCATTCTGGTTCATTGCGTGTGATACTTTGTTCAAGTATTCTTCCTTCTTCAGCTATAATAAAGAAATAATAAGGACATGTATAAACTTCAGATAATGAAGTTGTCGTATTTGTCACACACACACAAAATGAAGATGTCGTCTTTTGGTGTTTGTAATGTACCTGAACTTGACCGGTGGCTTCTCCGGCCTTATGCCTTAATTCTTGGCTTGATGACATCTTTTTTTCGATTCTGTCGATTTTAATTTTGTTCAATACTTGAAAGGATTGATATACATGCATATTCAAGTGGTATTTATACAATTCGGAAGTAGTATTATTGTAAAATCCTGGATATAAGCATTCTACTAGAATTTTGTGGAGATGAATAGTTTTAGGACGTATGACCCTAATTTTGCTTGGTCAAGAAGTGGAGGAGAATGACTGGCATTAGAAAGATCTTAAAAACCCCTTTTTCGGTGACATTTTCTTTTAGTCAAGAAGGCATTTCAATGTATCGATTGTAACTAATAGAAAGAAAAAAAAAACTACAAAATTGAACAATGTTTTATTGTTACGACCAAAAATATCATTAAACCTTGTAGTCGTACCAAGAAAACATAAATAACAATAAATTTGTTCAGAGTGGTATCAATTTTGAATCCTCCAAGTTTTATTCTTGGGATTTTTAATGCATAAAGTAATTTTTTTTGGGGCAAACACATAAAGTAATTTCTCAAACTAATTTTCTATTGCATTATAAATATATTGTGATAAAAAAATAGATGCAAGGTGGCGAGATTAAGTCTTATTGTTTTCTTTATTTAAAAATACGTAACTACTTAATAATCTAATGCGTAATTGGTATTGACGGTTGTTGCATATAATGCATATAGTAAATGAATATCCATGCACGCGACTCGCCACGTATCTAGTACTAGTAGCATCTTCCGTAACTCACTTTTCACTATTGCGTCGTGGCACATCTATATAGGTCGTCATCAAAACAAGAAACCTAACCATTCACACTCGCACAAAACTCCAAGTTTCGAACTTCGTGGCTTTAACCTGATCACGGCACGTGGCTAGACCCGTGTCGAGCACCTGCAATACGTATCTTGTTCTCGAGCCGACCAAGAGTTGCTATAAAATCTGAAACGAAAGAATCGGAGACAAATCACACAGTTTCAACAGATTCTCAGCTTCTCTGAAAAAAAAGCTTCTGATCATCAGTCTTCTTGTTTCTATTGAATATTTTTGGTTTCGAATTTTAGAGTTTCTCAAAGAGAGAAAATGGCGTCTCATCAAGAACAGAGTTACAAAGCTGGTGAAACTCGAGGCAAGACACAGGTACTAAATGATTTATATGCTTATTAACATTATTTTGGGAATAACAATAGTACAGTACTAAATGAGTTAATATTAGACACTTTTGCGAAAATAAAAAATGTTATTACGTGTAAAAACGAACAATGAGTGGAACGTTAATATATTAACGATATATCGATGTTCTTTTTGATTCAGTTGCTTGATTTTTCGATGATACAGTATATATATATTTTTTTATCATAATTGAAATTTTATAAATTGTAATTAAATCCAATATCGAATCTTAGGAGAAGACAGGGGAAGCTATGCGAACGATGAGGGAGAAGACAGAGGCAGCTAAGGAAAAAACTCAGGGAGCAGCTCTGACAGCCCAAGACAAGGCCCATGAAACAGCTCAATCAGCTAAAGACAAGACATCGCAAGCTGGACAAACAACTCAACAGAAAGCTCAAGAGTCCAAGGATAAAACGGGAAGCTACATGTCAGAGACCGGAGAAGCAGCCAAGAACAAGGCACAAGATGCGGCAGAGTATACCAAAGAAACCGCAGAAGCTGGAAAGGATAAGACCAGTGGGTTCTTGGGCCAAACCGGTGAGCAAGTGAAGCAAATGGCTATGGGAGCTACTGATACGGTTAAGCACACTTTAGGGTTTGGTACTGATGAAGGAAACAAAGAACATGTTTCTTCAGATCCAAGTACTACTACTACGACTACTACTCATGCGACACAGAGGAAGTGAGATAAAGATTTGTTTTTCAGTTCTTGATTTCATGTTTGTTTGTTTGTTTGTTTTGATAGTTTCTGTTGTGTTTGTGTGCTTATGTTGATCATTGTTGTTTATTGGGTTTGAATACTTTTTATGTATTGGTATGGTTGTATTTGAGCTTGTTTTGCTGAATAAAAATTATATTTGATATAGTTCTGCATTTGATTAGTAGTACACAAATGACCTTCTATTAGTTTATCAATTATAACCTAAATTCAATATTAATCTGGTTTACAACCTTTAGGGAAATTAAACTTTATAAGAAAATATAGACGCAATGTATTTATAATTAACTTGAAATACATAAATACATATTTTTACATAACAATTTGTACTAATTTCAATATTTTTAAATTTGATGTGTTAGGTTAGATGCAGAAACTAATTTTCATACTTCTGATAGTATTTCTCTTTTTATTTTGTAATGCTATAATAAGTTGTTTTACTTTTTGTATTTGTAACAAATTTAGCCATGTTATAGCGAATGGAATTACAGCAATTAAGACTTTTTTTAGTTTCGATAATTAAAGAAGTTGGAAAAGCCTAAAGAAAAAAGAAGAATAAAAGCATTAAACCCCTTTATTCATGATCAAGAATCCAACATGGACAAAAGAACAAACGACATAATAAATCACAAAACAACGAACCATGAACCATATATATATACCCCCAAGAAACCCACCGATTATACATTCTCTACCATCTCAAGTTTACAATAGTTTTTTTTCTTTTCTTTTTATCCTCCCCCACCCATTATTCTTTGTTCTTCGCGGCCAACCATATCGCCTAGATGCATTGCATTCTGAATGTAAAGTTCAACGTGAACCCTCAAGCCCGAGCCTTGTTGTGAGCCAATGAACGACCTCATCCAATTCTTTGGGAACAGTGTAGTGACCAAGTCTGCACATTGGCATAAACCCAAAACTTTTAACCAGTGTGTTCAAAAACAAATGATATATAACTTCAAATGATGTTTGCTACTCTTAGCTTAAGTGAAGTTTAATTACCCTTCGTGTGGCTTAAACATGACTTGTCGAAATCCAGCTATGCCAAGGGACTGCGCAGATTTCTCTCCAAACCTATAAGGAACCACGTCATCGGCTGTGACACAACACAATCGGTAAAGATCAGATATTAAAGCAAAAAAATGCATATACATATGTAGATTACAAAAAGAATTGTTGACAAATACCAGTTCCATGTGTAAGTATGATTGGTAAAGATGCAGCACGCCTTGCAGCCTCATATGAACATTCTATTTTGCTCCTTATGCTCCTACAAAGTTAAGTTTAAGCTTCTATCAGTAAAACAAAATAAACTAAGACTATGTAACATTAAGTTAAAACAAGAGGGCTTGAAGAATAATTACTTCCAACCAGGAAGCCAGCCGCTGAGCCCTACAACAGCTCGTAGGTTTATAGGGTAAGCATGGCCACTTCCATAACGTCCAAGAGCATAGCAAGTGGCAGAGTAGAGAGATATTGCTGCTCCCATGCTAAATCCTCCTATCCCAACTTTAACTATCAAAATCACAAGAACAATTTGAAAGATTAGCTAGAAAATTTGATGTGTAGTGCATATTATAATCTAAAGTTAGGTTATGTCTCTTGCTTACCATCTGCTGGTTCAGAGGACAAAAGGTTAGCAATATGTGAAGCTGAGGCATCTAAACCTTCTATATCATCATTACTGTCTTCAGAAATTTCCCCAACATCAAACCCTGATTAATATATACAAACCATTGATTTAGTTTCCAATTCAAGCATTACTTTTAGAGACATCAAAGAATGTTTATTGAAGATTTCAAGCTTATCTTACATGCTGTGCAAGTAAATCCACCAAGACTTGAAACAGGACGCGTAGGAGCGGTCGGGCAAATCCATTTTATCTGTGAATAGCATATATATTTTTCAGAAACTTTACTACAAAAGAGATGTTAGATTGGTTTTGGTGGATTCATTACAAAATATGTTGAGGGAGTCTTACATTTGGAAGATGCAAGCTTTCCATGAGCTGAGATGAGCTGCATACAAAAACAGAGACAAGGTGAGAAACGCATGCATGGACGGTTCTCTTGATTAATACACAAAACATGGTATATTCTTTTTTTCATATGAAACGAGAAAACTGTCTTGTTAATATTCTACCAGCAGAAATAGAACTATATAAAGTGAAACAAGGTATATATATATACAACTTATTTTTATCACAAACTTTAATAAACTAAACTTAATATTCCCATAAGAGAAGACATATGAGAGGAAAGGTACAATGGAAAATCTAACAACTCTTTGCGGCGCCACGAACATTTATATACAAATAAAACTTCCCGAAAAAAAAGAAAGTTAAAAGAAGAAGAGTCACATATACACAATTTGTAGTTGAAAATTAGTATTAGAGAACATGCCAAAATTTAACTTTAGAAAACTTTTATTTTTGTTTTCTTCTTCCACTACATACACTACACTCATAAGTTGAAGCTTTTTCCATGACATTTAAACTGAAGACGACCCGTAAAAGCATCAACCGTGAGTTTAAGCTATATGAAATTGCTCTGATTTTCTAAAATTTTAAAAAAAAAAATCAAGAATAATGATACAAACAAGCCATGTGAAGAGTGTTACCTAGAGCCATTGTCACCAAGACCATGAAGCCATATTATAGTGGCTTGATGCTTTCCTTTAGGCCTCACAACATAGGTCCTTCCAAATTCATATCCCCTTGCATTTCTACTACCTTCAAAGATTTTTACCAAAAACAGAGTCACTAACCAGTTTCAAGCAGATAATTTATTTTTTTTCTTTAAGATAACCGGAGGAATTTTTAGGCCAGAACAAAAACTAATCTCCGAGTAGGTAGAAATTATCTTACAGAAAAACTTGATTACAACAAGCATCAGTAACATTTCAAGAAAAGACATAAACATGAACAATCAAGAAGGAAGAAAACAAACCAGAACCCATGCTTTGGTGAGAATAACTCATTGCTGTTGAACGGTATCCGAACACTCTACAGTTGTTGTTTTCTTTTGAGAGCCTTCAAGTTTCAAAATACGAACAAACAAGTGATGATGAATATATGAGAAGGCGATGTGTATATATAACCAAATTAAAGGGATGATGTGGAAATGTGGAATAAAAGAAAAGAGGTGAATCTGAATCATTCACTATGGGATGCTCAATGTGTACAACAGCTAACCAAAACTACTAGAAAGGGAATGGAAGGAGAAAGCTAGAGGATGCGTCCATGGAAAAAGGAGGGTGTAAAAAGAGATTAAATAAAATAAACTAAGTTTTTTGTTTTCTTTATACAAGAAAAGAAACAAATCTTTTGGGAAACATAAGGAATAAAAAAAAACCAGAGCAGAGAGTTAGCGGTAACAACACACAGAGATGAGAAAGAGAAAGAGAATCAATGCCTTGTGGGCAGTGGTGGAAGGAAAAATAAAATGAAAGAAAAACAAACTTTTTCTTCCTAGACGAATATTATTAATTCTATATATAACAATAAATACTTTTACTTGAAACATTAAGGCATAATCCAAAAATGAAAAAGAAGACAAATCTCCCCTTCTTCAATCATTTATTTATGAAAAATAAAGAAATTTTTATATGATTGATTGATAGTTGGATACCCCATTAACTAGAAAGCTTGTGAGAAAAACCAGCATGAAAAAAAATGTATATAGTAGTTTTGAGATTTCGATTGCAATTAAGGATTTTGTTTTATATAAGAGTACTTGGTTATATATATTAAAGATCTCGATCAATTGCAATGATGACAAGAATGGAAAAAACATAAGAGACCAACCTGGATTTTTCAGGTGGGGTGAACAATATATTGAGGAAAAAGACACAAATCTGTTTCATCAATTTCAACGATGTGTTCATTGCTGTGTTCTGTTTGCCATTGTTATTGCCAGTGCCCACCAATAGATTCAAATCTTTTGGGTTTCCCTGTACGAGTGTTGAGTGAGAACTGAGGAGCCCATTTCACCAAAATATGCCGTTTAATTTTAAAATAATGAATCTACAAGTTTCTCTTATGAATAAATGTGACGAAGAGGAATGCCTTAGTCTAGTGGTTTATGTAAGTGTATATTTCTTTTACATCAAGTAGGAAAAGAAAACAAATTAGATAAAGAAAATTTTAATTTGTAGTTGACAGATTAGATTAGATAATTTTTCTTTTCTTTTTTTTTGTTGACAAAAAAAAAGATAATTTTTTGAAATTTACAATGTGTCAAGTAGAGTAAAACTGAATTTGGAAAAAAATTTCTATGAAATCTAATTCTTGAAAGGATTAAATTATCAAACTTCTTTGCAAAACTGATAAGTTATTATTATATTTTTTTCAAGAAAAGGAGAAGTTCTGTGGAGGTGATCTGAAAAGGGAATAATGGGAAAGGTGAGTGGGTCTGAGCACATGCACCACAATGCATGTGTCACCTATAGTATCCACTCTTCATGGCCCAATCACCCATCACTTCCGTTTTCCCCAATTTTATTACATTTTGAAGTTCAAGATTCTTTCGCGATCAGAAATTATAATCAAAGATTTTGTTTAATTTAATTAGAACTTACTATTTGCTAAAAACATTATATAAAATGCGCCTATAAAAGTAGCGTAATATTATTTCAGGTAAATATTGGAATTCATTTTTGGACAAATGGTTTTTCGGTAACTTTTCGGATGAGCTTAGTTACTAAAATGATTAGATTATGAATTTATTATATTTTTTTGTAATGAACATTTTTTTTTTGAATTACTATAAGGTTCTGGGCCGAAGCTCAAAATCACAACATGTAATATTAATTTTGTCTCAAACATTACTCGATCATGTGATTTATAAGCTTTGCATAAGGTCCCTTTATCAGTCAAGCTAGCAATACTTGGTTTTCGTAATAAACATTATGAGATAATATAATTATCTATCAAAAACAAAGTTGATTTAAATGAAAAATTATTATTCAAATTAGATATATAATCAAAAATAAAAAAGTCAAGATGTACATTGATTTTATAATGAAAATTTAAGTCTTTTTTAGTAATATATATAGTGATATATTTATAACTAGGGTTAGTAACTTTTAGAATAGAATAATATAAAAAGAAAAGAAAGAGTTGTTAAAAATAATATCTACTTAAAAAATATGCATAAAAATACACTATAAAACATAGATAAACCCAATGATTGTATTTTTCATTATTTCTATTCCTTTTATGGATTGATTTCTATCTGAACACATGGTATTAAATAAATTTCTAGTGTGTATGGTAGTGGTATATTGGAGTAATTGTTAGCTGGAAAATATTATGGAACTGGTTGACTAATATTATCGCGAACAAAAAACTAGTGGAATATGACATTAGCCGATTACTTAAACAATGGCGGTATCATATTTCATTAATTTATTTCCTTACGAAAGTCAAGCAATTTGCAATTTAAATATATTTGTACAGTGAAATTTTTCGTATTAACTTTTGTTAGTCAACTCTTTTTATATCCACACTATTTTCTTAGAAAAAAAAACTTTAATTGGAGTGTAGAATCGGCCGAAATTAGAAAAGTTAAATTTAATTTTATTTGACTTTTTATAATACTTTGTTAAAATTGTATTATAATTTTGGAATTAGAGATGCTTTCGGCACTACACTATGTTAATTAACTCCTTAATGGTATTGAAAAGGTGTATAGTGTTTGTTTGTTCATAGGGTTAAAAGGGCAAATTAAGCCATTGTATGTTTATGCATTTTAGTTATGCTATATACGAAGCTGTTTTGATTTGTTTTTTTTGTTAAGAATGTAAATACCATTAATAGTAATGAAAGAGTTATATTTTATAGAAAATAAATTTAAAAACAGTGTTACCTTGACAAAAAGAATAAAAATAAGAGATCAATACAATTATAAAATCAATGTCGTCGTGAGACCGGTTACCGAAACCAAAAAGTCATCAAGTTACATAATTGTCTTTTATGCCTTCTATCTGTGATTGTGTTTCTGATTTTTCTGTCTATAAAGTTGAAGATAGCCATCGGAGAGAGATATATTTTGTTGTGAAGCACGTTATTCCTCTGTTTCCAAATATGGTAGATTATCGCTTGGGCCAGTAACATCCGCAGTAGGGATGGCGCTGCAGCAGAAGTCATTCTTAACCAAGAGAGAAGCTCAGACCAGGATCCGAACATATGCTGGGATGGGCGAAGCCTAGATATAGTTAACCTCCAAATCTCCACACTATAAGCACAAGTCAGGAACAAGTGGTCTCTGTTTTCCTCGAACTTGTTACAGAGATAGCAGTCCGTTTGAATCTGCATTCCCCACATGGCTAACCTCGCTCTTGTTGGTAATCTGTTTAAATTTGCTGTCCACATTGTGAAGGAATGCTTTGGAACAACGCCTTTGAACCAAATCGTTTTTGCCCAAGTCTTTATCTCCGCCCTAGGCCTCATCACTTTCCATGTTTTTGACGATGAGAACCTATCACAGCTGACTCCATCAATGGACCAGATATACGCATCTGCTGCAGCGTTTGACATCAGAGGAGCTACTGTTGTGAGGTGAGTATGCAGGGAAACAGCTTCTTCAGATCTTGGGTCCGGCAGATTCCAGCCTAGATGGTTAGAAGCTTCAGAAACCGTTGCTTGGAGGTGAATTCTGAGGTCTCTAGGACCCGTAGGCCCCATGAAGGGGACCAGACATCATACCAGAATCATATTTTGTTTCCATCTCCAAGAACCCCCTTGATGAACTTAATTGCCTCCGGTCTGAGTTTCAGAATCTCTTTCCAAGTCCACGTATCCTGATGCGCGACTCGACTGCCCAGAAGCTCTTGTTTCTCAGATGGTGGTGCCTCTGCCACGCCACCCAAAGAGACTTACTCTTAGAAAACAACAGCCAAATGAACCTCAGGCACATGGTTTTATTCCAAACCGAAAATCTCCTAAGACCGAGTCCTCCTTCTTCTCTCGGAAGGCAGACAGTAGACCATGCAACTTTAGCCCCTCTGGTGTTCTCAATGTTCCCAGACCACAAAAATCTAGAGCAAAGTGACTCAATTTTCTTAATACAGCCTTTAGGAAGGATGAAAGCCGAAATCCAGAAGGTTACTGTTCCTGAGATGACCGACTTTATCAACTGCACTCTTCCCGCAAAAGAGAGTGTTTTGACAGCCCAAGTTCTGAATTTATTTTCAAGCTTGTGCAGCAGCGGATCATACTCTGAAATCCTCAACTTCCTTGACATAAGAGGCAAGCCCAGATACCTTATAGGCAGAGAACCAACCGGCAATCCATAGCTTTCCAGGGCAGTGGATTCGCTTGGGTTCAAGCCTGCATAAAACAATTCTGTTTTGGTCCTGTTCATCTGAAGACCCGACCAGCTCGCAAAATCATCTAAGCATTCGTATATACCATGCAAAGAAGAGCTACTTCCATCAAAGAAGACCATCACGTCGTCCGCAAATATGAGATGAGTTATTTTTAAAGCAGCGGTCTTTGGTTGATAGTTGATAATACCTGTCTCGAAACACGAGAGGAGTAGCTGAGAGAGAACTTCCATTGCAAGCACAAACAGGTATGGAGATAGAGGATTGCCTTGCCTTATGCCTTTTTTGCTTTTAAAATAACCCCCTGAAACTCCATTCACAGAGATGGAGAACGATGGGGTGGTGATGCACTGAGCGATCCAGTTGATAAATTCCTCAGGGATGTGGAGAGCTCTTAAGGTACCAAGAATAAAGCCCCATCTCACAGAGTCAAAGGCTTTACGAAGATTAACTTTCAGCATTCCTCTAGACTCCATTCTCCTTCCATTATAGCCTTGAACTAGGTCAGTGGCAAGTAGTACATTCTTAGAGAGCAAACGACCAGGCATAAAAGCTGATTGGGAGTGAGAGATGACATCAGGGAGAATGTCCTTCAATCTGGAGGCCAGTAGCCTTGAGATCACCTTATAGACCGTATTTAGACAAGAAATGGGCCTGAAATCAGAGGTGGTTGAGGCATTAGTAATCTTGGGAATGAGAACGAGAGAAGTCGCATTCCACTGCTGCAGGAGTCTGCCAGACTTAAAGAATTCAGTGGTTGCTTCTGTGATTTCTGTGCCAACTATATCCCAACAACTGATGAAGAACTCAGCAGAGTAGCCATCAGGTCCACTTGTCTTGTTCCTAGGCAGAGATAGGAATGCTTCTTTAATCTCAGCAGTTGAGAAAAGTTTAACCAATTTTACTCTCTGGTCCAAGGAGCACTTACAAGGCATAATCAAACTCAAATCGCTTTGCTCAAACGTGGGGTTGTCTACATCACTACCCAAGAGATCAGAGAAATAGTTCACACAATGGTCATGAATATCTTGCTGAGAGTCAATCCTGACGCCTCCTCCATCAATTAGGTAATGGATATGATTCAAAGTCATTCTGGTGGAAGCTATTCTATGGAAATAAGCAGTATTACTATCTCCAAGAGCTAGCCACAGAACTCGAGATTTTTGGCAGAAAAAAGCTTCCTCTGCTCTCGCTAGAGTTTGCCACTTACAGAGCGATTCCATCTCAACATATGCTTTAGTAGGCGTT